GTGACTGCTATTTATAATGCAGGTAATGGTGATGCTATTGCTAGATTTACGATGGGAAAAAAATAAACGTTTTAAGAATGATTTAAATTTGTGCAGCTATAGAGAACTAGTTGAAGTTGGGGATTATTGCATATGTATATTTTTAAAATATATTATGCTTTAAACAGGAAAAAATGACTTGCTTGTCAACATTTTTAAGATAAACTTGCAGTTCTGCTTTCATGAATCTCCATTTTGCAACAAGTTGGCCAAATGCACATGCCACTGTTCTTCTGGCCCGACTATGTCTGTACTGTAGTGGTAAACTTCAATTTCTCGTGATACAGTATCACCACTGGTGGTGTAGGCCTATTGTCGCATTAGAAAATTGTTCAGATGATAACTTTGGTCATTCTGAAATAATCAAAAAATAATTTTCTGGTAGCTCCAGCAGCCTTGGAAACAACGTATGGAATTCTCCGCACTCAGTTATTATTTCAGAAATTTCCCCGGGGGGGGGGCACTTCAGATTTTTAGGGGGGGGGGGCAGTGCCAGCAGTGCCAATTGATTTATTGTTGGACATATTTTTGCTCCAGTGGGGGGGGGCCCTCCCGGAGATATAGCTGAAAGAAACCCCATCAACACCTGTCTCTCTCTCTCTCTCTGCAAAAATTGGGTTTACCCACTCACTTCTCTGATTCTCTGATAATAATAATTTTAAGAATGGATTCGCTATCAAATAAGACATGTTCATCCATTCCAGTTTTTATTTTATTTTTAAATGTAACACACAATAAGCTCAATAAAAATCTATGTTCATTCTAATATTTGTAAGCGCTAGCGGAAAGACAGCTAAATCAAGGCCGCAGTTATGATAGACAATAAAGATTCGGATGCGATCAGTTGCAATGTACTCTCGATGACTGCAATGTCCGACGTACAGTTCTACCCAAAGATCGGTCTCGTCGCAAGTCTTGGAATCCGGTGAAATCCGGACCTAGTGTGTGCTCACCCTTATAGTTCAGGGGAAAAAAAAGAAGAAAATCTGACGCACCCAACGCACTTGAGTTATTCTTTTAAAGTCGTTTTATTTCGAGAAATTAGTAATAAATCATATTTACTTAATCTTCTCCTTGAAAAACAGATTAATGGGGGTTGGGGCTGATTATTTGATAGAATGTGTTTTCAACGGCACCAGACATTTGATGGCCTCGACAAGCAGATTACAGGTGTATCGCAACTGTTGGACGTCGCCATGCCTTCAACTTCGGACGTGGCTTTATGGAGTGTTACCACTTGTTTGTATCAGGCACTCTCCTAGGATGAGCATTCAGGACACACCTGTCTCTGGCATGACCTGCCCACAGCGGCGGCAGCTCAGCTCGCAAAGAGAATTCAATCTGTTAGGATAGTGTTCTGTTATCATTTGAATTATGAGGCTCCGGTGACCGCGTCATCATTTCCACCACCGATTGATCAACCTACATTTAATAAATGGTTGGTAAAATGCTGATATATTGGATAATTTTTTTTTTTTACTCTTAGACGTTAAACAAACATTGATTGGTTCAATGACAAAGTGGTACAATCGATTATGTACGAATTAAATTCAAATACATTACTTATTAAATTTTAAAATAAAATCTTCCTCGATGTGGGGAAAATGTTCACCATTAAATGTCGCCAGTAAAGGCACCAGCAAATCTTGTTTTTTTTAGAATTACCAGTGTGAATGTTTTAATAGTGTGTAAGCTGACTTCTTTCTGATCATGTTGAACAAGTATGAGATGTTTTTGTTAAAAGAATTATTACCCACGATGTAAATGAATTAGTGGAGTGAATGGAATAAAGGAATTATCAACCAAGATTTGAATAATAAAAGGAATCATTACCCAGGATGTGAAGGAATTAAAGGATTTATTACCCAAAATGGAAATCAATTAAAGGAATTTTTCTCCAAGATGTAAATGAATGAAAGCAATTATTACTCAAGATGTGAATGAATTAAAAGAATTATTACCCAAGATGTAAATGAATGAAAGAAATTATTACCCAAGCTATGAATGAATAAGAGTAAAGGAATTATTAACCAAGATGAATTAAAGGAATTATCACCCATGATGTATTTGAATTTAAGAAATTATTACCCAAGATGTAAATGAATGAAAGAAATTATTACCCAAGCTATGAATGAATAAGAGTAAAGGAATTATTAACCAAGATGTGAATGAATGAAAGGAATTATCACCCATGGTGTGAATGAATAAGAATACACTTCACGGAGCAGTGTATGGGAGCAGTAGACAATCAAGATGGCTTACCTCGATGGACGTTATTGTTTTTAAATTATTTGGGGGTCGGGGGGGGGGGGGTCGGAAGGGAATAGTGAAAAAGTCTTTACTTTTGTAATATTAAATATATTATTAAAATGTATTTTTAAAAAAAAAAGAAAAAAAAATTTTTACGGAGCAGTGTATGGGAGCAGTAGACAATCAAGATGGCTTACCTCGATGGACGTTATTGTTTTTAAATTATTTGGGGGTCGGGGGGGGGGTCGGAAGAGAATAGTGACAAAGTCTGTACTTATGTAATATTAAATATATTATTAAAATGTATTTTTAGAAAGAAAAGAAAAAAAGATTTTTTTACAATACTATCTTTATAATCAATGATTACTAATCATTCGTAACAGTAAGTTTACAATATTAGATTTCCGCTGGGTTACTTCCTCCAATACACCTACACAAAATATATTAAAAATAATTTTTTAAAAGTGAATAAGTTCTCCCTAATTTACTTATTTGGATACCGGCACTTCATAATCGGATACTGTTACTGCATCATTGGATACCAGCACTTCATAATCGGATACTGTTACTGCATCATTGGATACCGGCACTTCATAATCGGATACTGTTACTGCATCATTGGATACCGGCACTTCATAATCGGATACTGTTACTGCATCATTGGATACCGGCACTTCATAATCGGATACTGTTTCTGCATCATTGGATACCGGCACTTCATAACCGGATACAATGGGCTTGCCAATCCGGTTTCGTACTGATGGATCAGTATTTAACCTTAGGAGGCTTCAAGCTAAAACCAAGGTCAAACATACCACGATCAACGAGCTTCTGTTTGCAGACGATTGTGCCCTTAATGCTCCATCAGAAGCCATCATGCAACACAGCGTTGATATCTTCTCAGAGGCGTGCAATAACTTTGGCCTCACAATCAACCTAAAGAAGACTGATGTGATGTATCAGCCAGCTCCCAGTAAGCCCTACGTTGAACCCAACATCATCATCAGTGGACAGCGTCTCAACCCGGTGGATAAATTTACTTACTTGGGCAGCACCCTCTCTAGATCTGTCGTCATGGATGATGAAATGAATGGCAGACTCGCAAAAACTAGTGCCCTATTTAGCAGGCTCCGCAGCACTGTTTGGGACAGGAGAGGTATCAGTCGAGAAACAAAACTCAAGGTCTATAGCGCAGCAGTCCTCCCGACACTGCTTTATGGATGTGAAACGTGGACTGTCTACCAGCGTCACGCCATGAAACTGAATCATTTTCACACTACCTGCCTCAGGAAACTCCTCGACATCAGGTGGCAAGACAAAGTCCCCGACACCGAGGTCCTCGCTAGAGCTAACCTACCTAGTATCTTCACCACTCTGATGCAGTCTCAGCTCCGTTGGATGGGACAAGTAGCCCGTATGGCAGACCACCGGCTCCCGAAACAAATATTCTTTGGAGAACTCACGATAGGCAAGCGCTCCCAAGGAGGCCAAAGAAAGCGTTACAAAGACTCACTGAAAGTGGCAATAAAGGCCTTCAGCATAAACCCTACTCAATGGATGCAGACAGCCCAGGACAGAGCCAGATGGAGAGCTGCTGTCAAGAAGGGGGCTAAATCCCATGAAGCTAAGAGAATAACCACAGCTGAGACACGCAGGCTTGTCCGAAAGAGCAACATTAGGTCATCGCCTGAAGCAACTATTCCATGCCCACGGTGTCATAGATTATTCCGAGCAAGGATCGGTCTAACAAGCCACCTAAGAGCTCACCGTAATCCCCCCCCCCTGCCCGCCCCTAACCGGATGATTCGATGGTCCTTGTCGACTTCGACGGACGAACAACGAGAATTCAATGCTTTGATCTAAAGCTGAGACGTCTTTTCATATATTGCTGGCATCCGACCGTCACAAGGTGACGATGGTGTGGAATTCGCAGGACGAAATCCACAAGGCCTGGGATCATTCTTCTAGGATTATAACCTGTATCCCAATAGCACATTGTCTTTCTTCACTCAACTGGATAACTCAAAGGGAACATCCTAGGGGTGATATGGCTTGGCGCCAGTCGCAGGATTGTTTTTGTTTTTGTGGAATGTTTCATTGTACCAATTTTATCCGCCTACGGGACTCCATCTCCGGGTTTGAATTCCGAGTTTCCTATCTTAGATGAGTTTCCATCTAAGGTTAGGTAGTGCTGGTGATGATTTTGCTTTGGTGGGGATTGAAATCCAGACCATCAACTTGAGATTTGCTTAGTTTCGACCTCTCAGGCACCCAGCACCCCTTTAATATATGCAATACTAATTATTAGCAGCCATGCTAAACTGAACGCTCTGGTAATTTACAGGGAAGGGGGTGGGGTGTAATAGTTTCGGAAGCTCGCCTATGTGAGGCAATTAGTGAAAGTTCGCCACTGAAGTGCGAGTATCCTTAACTCCTGAGATGAAGAGTCTCTTACCTTAACCAGGTCTGCAATGAATAATGTCACTCTAAGCCTGGGGTAACTTGATGTGTCAATAAAATGTCGATCAAAGGTAGACCAGCCTGTCTCCTCGTTGGCCTTGGTTGCGCCACCACCCGCCACTCCCGCCCTTTCCTATGTATGCACGCAAATGAAATATTCGGGCTCATTTCTTAACTAGCGTGGTTCACACATGACACAAGAGGTACGTCATCATGACTGCTTATCAGCGGGTCTTACGATCATACCGTCCGAAGATAACACTCTGACCCACGAGCAAATACGACATATCATCGCAATCAGAATATCTCGGTAATACCGAGAGGGGGCGTGTGATTCAACAATAGCCGCCGATAAATAGTTTTGTTTAATTTTTTTACTTATAAAATGTAGTAACCGAAATAAATTCAGATAATAGTGCAGAGTCCTGGCTCAGCATCGAATTGACGACAACTTTGGTCTAAAAGAAATGGGGAAATTCAAAAACTGTGTGTTTCACATTGCCAATGAACGGCATTGCTATTTGCCCGGTGAAAAGATTGAAGGTAAATAAATTCGTGTGATAACATTTACTAGATTTATAAGAGAGACGTTACAATGTATCACAAATAATAAATCTCTAGGTTACGTATGTGTGGCTGTAACGCTGTGTTTTCAATAGGCGCGCGAAATAAAATGTTCCCTCTAAGTTAGAACTAATAAAGATCAATACTCAAAAAGGTCGAGATTCAATCTCTTAGGACCTTGGCCGTGAAACATAGCCCAGTAGTCCCTGGGGACTCCGGCCATGCAACTCGGCCCAGAGTAAATAGGGGTTGGGACAGCTTTACTTCCTCTCCGGAGATGACGTTGCGTTGCCACCTCCAACGCCCGGGAGCTGTACGTTTTCCTTGGTGTGGGACGGCTTTGCTTCCACTCCGAAGATGACGTTGCGTTGCCACCTCCACCGCCCGGGAGCTGTACGTTTTCCTTGGTGTGGGACGGCTTTGCTTCCACCCCGGGAGTAGTTGCTGGCTTACTGTCTCCCACCGTCCCCAAGAGTTGTGCGAGCAAGTTTGGTTCCCAACAATTTGTTTCCCCCCCCCCGGGGAGGCGTTGCCTTGCCTCAAACCCGCGTTTCTCCGGGAGCGTTTCGGACTGGACTGTGCAGGGGTCAGAACGGCTTTAACTTCCTCTCCGGGGGGGAGGGGGGGGGAGGCGTTGCGTTACCTCAACCCACCGCTCTGGGAGCTGTTCGGGCTTGGACGTTGCGAGGACGAAACGGATGCTTATTCATAAGTGCATTATATTTCAGTGCGTGTTTTGTCAAGTATTTTAGTAGATGGGACGTTCACCATTGTTTGGTTGGGGGGGGGGGGGGGGTTNGGGGGGGTTACTTTCTAGAAAGAACAATAGTTTTCTTGTACAAACACAAAAAAGAACTTCGCTTTAATTGGTAAGATTAAATTGATAAGATTAAATTGATAAGATTAAATTGATAAGATTAAATTGATAAGATTAAATTGATAAGATTAAATTAAATTGGTAAGATTAAATTGATAAGATTGTGGTATTAAATTTTGATATGGCTGTTGATTTTCACATGATACTCATTAATAAAGATAGGGTAAATTGTATTTTTTTAAAAATGAAACTTTGAAAATGTCTCGAATGAATGTTGTTTCTCCGATTAAGCCGATGTCCTGCCCTAGATTGTGTTATCTACAATGCCAATTTTACAATAAATCTATAGACATGTGTCAGAAATCAATGAATTATTTCATGTCGTCAAGGGAACCACCGCCAATCATTGCGACAACCACCGTGGCATTACATCACTGCTCTCAATTGCAGGCAAGATATTAGCCAGAATCTTGCTCAATCGTCTTAATAAGCATCTTGAAAATGGTTTGCTGCCAGAAAGTCAATGTGGTTTCCGGAAGGTATCAGGACACATCGATATGGTGTTTGCGGCCAGACAGCTACCGGAAAAGTGCAGGGAACAAAATGTTGACCTCTTCTTTACCTCTGTAGACCTGACCAAAGCTTTCGACACTGTCAGTAGAGAGGGACTTTGGAAGATCACGGCCAAATAAGGATGTCCCAGAAAGTTCGTGTCAATGGTACGACTATTCCATGAAGGTATGCAGGCTAGAGATCGGGATGATGGAGAGACATTCAAACCATTCCCTGTAACAAGCGGCGTTAAACAAGGCTGTGTACTTGCCCCAACACTTTTCAGCCTCATGTTTTCCGCAATGCTGACCAATGCATTCAGAGAGGGAGACGCTGGAGTTGGCCTCAGATACCGAACTGGCGGTAATCAATTCAACCCCAAGAGGCTACATGCCAAAGCGAAGGTCCTGACAGACACCATCAGGGACCTCCTGCATGCAGACGACTGGACCCTAAATGCTGTATCAGGATTAAAAATGCAACGCTGTGTCACAAGCTTTTCTAATGGCTGCACAAACTTCGGGCTCACAATTAACACACAAAAAAACTGAGGTCATATACCTACTAGCTCCTCGAAGCCCGTATGTTGAGCCCAACATCCAAGTACATGGCGAAAGATTTAAGTTGGTGAAATGCTTTTCTTATCTCGGAAGCACACTGTCCCAAAGCGCAAAATCGATGACGAGGTTAACCTCCGTATTGCGAGAGCCAGTGCCACCTATGGAAGATTGACTAAGAACGTATGGACCAGGAGAGGTATCAGCATTCAAACTAAACTGAAAGTATATCAGGCGACTGTTCTCCCTACGCTTCTCTATGCCTGTGAAGCGTGGATGGTCTACCAACGCCATGCAAGATTGCTGCACCACTTTCATATAACAAGACTCAGAAAAATCCTCTACATTATGGCAGGACAGGGTCCCAGACACTGAGGTGCTCGCACGGGCAGGTCTCCCCAGCATCTTCACCATCTTAATGAAGTCCCAGCTTCGCTGGGCGGGACATGATGTAAGAATGTCAGAGGACCGTCTGCTCAAAAGAATTTTCTATGGTGAGCTTGAACAAGGAAAGCGGTTTCCTGGCGGGCAGAAAAAAAACACTTTAAAGACAACATAAAAGCCTCAACATAAACCCAGACACGTGGGAGGAAAAAGCAAAGGATCAAACTTCATGGCGTTCCACTTTACACAGGAGCTCCATGGGACATGAAGTTGGCAGAACAGCGGCTGCTGAGCGCAAGAAACATGCCAGGAAGGCCCGGTCTGGCTTTGCTCCCGGAGATGCGCCATCATTCCCTTGTACCTACTGCATAAGAGAATTTCGTGCCAGAATCGGACCCATGAGCCATCGGCGCACCCACAGACAGAACCAGCACAAGCTCTGATGGTTAAAGTGGTCATGGTCGACTCCCGACTGATGAACAACCAATCAATGTGTTATTTCATGTGTCTGTAATCAATGTGTTATTTCATGTGTCGATAATCAATGTGTTATTTCATGTGTATATAATCAATGTGTTATTTCATGTGTCTGTAATCAATGTGTTATTTCATGTGTCGATAATCAATGTGTTATTTCATGTGTCAATAATCAATGTGTTATTTCATGTGTCTTTAATCAGTGAGTTATTTCATGCCTTTATTTCATGTTTCTTTGTGTGTTAACTTAGACTTGGAATTAATCTCATGTTTTTTTTTAAATTTCAACTCAGGTAAAGTGTCCATTGAACTCGCCAAAAAAATTCGAATCAGTGGCGTCTTCATTAACCTGTTTGGGGGCTGCCAAATCAACAGGTACGGAGATGATTCAGACATCGGATCTGAAACCTACCTCAGCATGCACACCTCTGTTTTCGGCAACGAACCCAAGGAAGCAGCGGGAAATTACTCTCTCACCGCAGGACAAAACGTCTTCGATTTTTCCTTCATTCTTCCAACAACCGGGCTTCCCTCGTCATTTGAAGGCCAATACGGCTGCATCAGGTACTGGCTCAGGCTGAACCTTGAGCTCCCGTTTTCAAAACTGGATAAGACGTGGACCCACTACATTTCTGTTGTGTCTAGAATCCCCGTGCACACACCGCAAGGTTTGCTGCCTGTGACCGCCTGGAACCAGAAACGCGTCAAGATCGAAAAGGTTGGCGACATCGGCATGATCGTATTAGATGCCTCAATTAATAAGTCCTCATTCTGTCCAGGGGAGACGATTCTTGTTGACCTGGTAGTCAAGAATGAGACCAACAAAGATGTGGGTGTGGTCAGAGTGACTCTCTTGCAGAAAGTCACGTATTCTACAGGAGGGTTTATTCATGGCTCTACTCCCAAAGATCTGAGAACCATCCAGTCATTGGCACTTCTCGCGGGTCAAGTGATACGCTGGGAGGGCGAGCCGCTTGAGATTGATCTAGTTCCGCCCAGCAGCAGTACTCCCAACAGCAGCCGTCTGCTGAACGTGCAGTACGATGTCAAAATAACTGTGGAGGTTCCTTTTGAGTCCAACCTTGACCTTCGCCTGCCAATCACAATAGGAACGGTAACCCCAAGCGGGGTGAGCTTCGTCAAGTGTTCCGATGGGTTCTCCAAGTTCCCATACTGCAACGGCAATTATGAAGTCACCGATTACGTCCCAAGCACAGTTTGCATTGATATCAGCGAAGGTGGTACAGAAAGAACTCGCGCAGCCCGGTGTCAATCGGTCGAGGATAACCAAGATGGATATCGTCTAGGGGATCAAACCATGAAGCTGTTAGGACCGTCAGGGCATCTTGAAGGGGTTGCCATTGACAGGCATCAAATCAGTGGAAGTCAGCACATCAATGGTGCCAGTGCTTTCCCAAACAATCTGATGGAAGACGCGCCTCCAAGTTACGATGAAGTAGTCGGTGGCGCCAGGGTTTCTTTCATGCAAACCTCCGGGGGGGCACTGCCCCCACGGAGCAAGCCAAGTGCCCCCCCGAAAGAAAATGTGTAAGAAAAAATATTAATAAAATTAAAATTTATAATTTTAAAAAAAAATTATAACATTTGTAAAAGTAATCTAAATGTGTGCCTATCGTCGATTACAATGAATGGAACCAGTCAAATATCGCTTTGATCGATATATCTATTGGTGATCCATAGCGTTTAGGTTAATCTTGTTACAGGCTCACAGAATTCGATTATAAATTAATATCATTTTGTTTTCAAATTGGCTGCTCCTGATAATGAGCCAAAATTGTACTTTTCTTATTCGCATTTATCGTTATTTGTATTTATTTATATTTTGAAGATGCACAAGTTGAAAGACTTTAAAAGCACTGTATTAAACTACCTTTACATCGATAAAAATGTCTATAAATTGAATATATTTATTGCTTAGTAATTAATATGTGCCATATGTTTTCAAATTATATTTCATCATAAAAGCATGACGGTTAAATTAGAGATGAGTGTTAATTAGAAGATTATAATAGCATCATGCTTTTTTTTTTTAAAATCATTTTAGCTAGCATTTTAAACTAGTAGATTCCTTACATGTACATTGAGTTAGATCAAATGAAAACTTTAAAAAAAAAAAAAAAAACAAAAAAAAAAAACATAAAAAATAAAATTTTTTTTTTTAAAATCATTTTAGCTAGCATTTTAAACTAGTAGATTCCATACATGTACATTGAGTTAGATCAAATGAAAACTTTAAAAAAAAAAAAAAACACACATAATAAAGACCTAAAAAATAAAGATACCGATACATTAAAACAAAAAAATTGGCATTTATTGATTGCATACAAATAGTGGGCGATTCCTTTATTATTATTAAAATCGAGTGGGTTTCTAATTTTGTAGCACAGTTTTTGGAACAACAGAGTAAAATGATTTTTTTTTTTAATACTTAGCCTTTATTTATTAAATCCCCAACAAATTTTCTCTGTTCAATTTGAGAATAAATAAACAATCTTCCCCAGCTTTTTGAACTATTTAAAAAAATTCATTTTCAGATGATAATCCATTAGAAAGAATATACATATTTAAACAACATTGTTTGTTTGTTTTTTTTAAATGTAGTTTTTCGATTATCTTGCAAATGACAATTTTGGTTGCAGTTAAAAATAAATTCCGTGGAATTGGTAAAAAAATGTTTTAGAGTATAATCTCGAAGAGGCACGTTGTAATTCATCTGAAGCAAATAATAATTGCTTGAAAATCTAACTTAACATTTCAATCAACTGAATATTGAAAATTTTAACTTTATTTGTGTACGATTTCCTTCATAAAAACATCACATTTGTATAAATAGATGACGTCTTTTGTAAACAACTCATGTCTTCTCAAACATTGTGTCGGTTACATTTCATTTATAAATAAATACCAATTTTGAAAACCCATAAAAATGTATCGCCCTTTCTACAGACAAACTTTTTTTTTCTTTGTTGACTTTGGTAAAAAAACTTGGAAATATTTAGAAATAAACGTATGTTTTGCATTTTCTTTTTCGTTCAAAATGTAAAACTATTTTAGCATTTCTTTTTTGTGATGGACACCTTTTTTGGCAGGAATTCTTTTAAAAAATTTAAAAATATTTTACCCTAAATCCATTATTTTTTTTACGTATTTTACCCAAATTTTTTAAAAATAAAAACTTAAAGAACGCGTTACTCTTCAATATTTATTATGGCTATTTCTAGCGCTTCTCACACAAAAGTCTGAAATGTCTTCATCAGTGGCGCTTAATCCCATGTAGGGCCCTGGCCTGCTCCACCACATTCTTCCATTCGGATCGATCCATCGCTTTCCGCCTCCATGCACGAAACCCCAACCTTTGTAAGTCCTTCTCTACATCGTCAATCCATCTCAGTCTTGGTCAACCGGTGAGCCGTCTGCCCCTAGGTCTCTGCATGTAGAGCGTTTTTGCTGTTCCAGAATCCGGCATCCTTTCAATGTGTCCTGTCCAGAGCAGTCTGTCTTTTTTTTTTTTTTTTTTTTTTTTTTTTTTTTAATTGTTGGGACAATGGATGGGTATTTGTACAATTGATATAGCTTTTGGTTTGTACGGATTCTCAAAACAAAATTGTCTGTCATCGGGCAATATTTTGAACAGGTTCTCTGGTTGGAACCAAGTCTCACTTGCTTAAGTTACCGCTGGTCTTATGATAGTGGTCCATATTGTCTCTTTGTTCCCCTAGAGAGGTTTTTGCTCCGTAGTACAGCTTTTGTAAGTTGAAATAAGAAAGGTTGCATGCAGTTTTCCTTTCTTTCACCTCCGATGGTATTTCCTTTTACTTATTTATAGTCACCCCTAGATATTTGAAAGTAGCTACTCTCTCAAAGATGTGGTTTTTCATATATAGTGATGTTGTCATCAGTGCGCGTATTTCCTGACGTTATCATAAAATAATATATATTGCCTTCGATTTATTTACATCAAGACCAGCTGTGACCCGCAAGACGATATTTTGCGGCCCGCTACATGACAGCACAGTTTAGTGTTAATGCGGCCCGCACGTTTTCCCTATAATCTGACCCTCTGCGACGGTTTCTGTCAAATCTCACCTGCCAGTCTAATTCTGATTTTTATTATAATTGGAGATTTTTGGATGCTGATTATTATGGTAAAAACCGTTTAAAAGTAAAAGTCGGACTAAAGGTTTTTATTTTATTGCATTTCACGAGACAAACATAGCCAAAAAGCAGTCTTGAGAAAAGTTTAAAAAGTAATTTTTTTGGGGTAACGCACAACAATGTTTGTGTAAATCGTAGCAATCTGATGCAGTATCAAAGAATCCCTATTAAAATTGCCGCTAGTGTTTACAAGTGAGGGAAATTTCGTGCCTAACAGCTTGGTCACTTTCCAAATACGATTAGTCAAAAATGTCTTTTCTACGAGAAAAATCTAAATTCATTCTTCCAACAATAGCATCTTCCTTCGCATCAATAATTCGTACATATTGCCTGTTCCTGACTACTGTATGAACACGTTTTAGCATTTAAAGCCTTCATGGAGAAGGATGGGGTAGTTGTTCCTGAACTAATTGATCCCAAAAGGCTCATGGACTTTGCTTTTCTAATTGACATTACACAGGAGCCGAATGTACTCAACAAGAAGTTACAAGATCAGGGGGGGGGGGAGGAGCTTGCCAGCATTGCCTATGACAATGTCAGGGCATTCTGCACAAAACTTGTGTTATGGTTCTTAGAGAAACCTCTTCCATTTCCCAACATGCCAAGAACTCATGTACTCGGGCACACCATTCGGTAGCAAGTACACTGATGCCATTGCAAAGCTACAGGAAGAATTTGAGCACATGTTTTTAGACTTCAAAAAGGGGGGGGGGGGGNTTGTTTTTTATTTTCCCTGAACTTAGCATTCCCATAAACTCGCTCTTTGGCTTGCTGGAATTAAACAGGTTGAATTCTTTTTCTATCTATTTCTATGATATTTGATACATAAGCTATCTTTCATTAAATGATAATACAAAGGATTACCACTAAGCTTATTTGGATTAAGTGGCTTTGAACAAGCCTTTTTTTTTACCAACCATATCAACTTACCACATACAAACTATCTGCAGCATCTAAAAAAAGCCAGCCAGTGTTTTGTCCAAATGCTCTTTCGCTTTCTCTGTAATGTAAGTGGTAACCATAACAACAATTTTGAAAAAAACCATTGCTAGAACTACAAGTAGATGGATGTTCAAAATTAAGGAGGGGGAAGAAAGTGAGGCCTAGTTCTTGAGAACCATTAATGTTTTTTAATAAAGGTTGAGCAGATTGTAACAGTTGTACTTTATTAACTTTGTAATCGCATTTTTGTGGAATACTTGATGCGACCCAGTCTCATTCAGACTGACTCTACCTCTTGCGGCCCCTGGATAATTTGAGACCCCTGCTGTAACTGTAATGCTTGCAGATGTATAATTTTCATGTTTCCTTGACTGTTACCTTGTCACCCCCACCCCGCCTCCTTTCCCACATGGTTCCCAGAAGATAATTTGTGCCCCCCCTTACTTTTACTAATCCTACGCCAGACTGACACTGACAGGTATGTGGTCAGTAGAGAATACTTGAATATTTAAAACCCAATTCAAAGTCTTTCATTTGTCTCTGATGATGACCCGTGAACCGCTGAACTCTGTTGATGACGACCTTTGAACCGCTGAACTATGTTTTCTATAGAAATACATAAACAATAAATGAGCATCAACGAAGATACATAAATAAAGCTGTGCGCTTGAATGAGGCAACTGACATATGGGAGCTGCCTAGAAATGTCAGTCATGAACAGGTGTAAAGTTATGTCACCTTAACTCTACATTACAAGTACAAGTTGTATGACTTGACAACTGCCATCCTGCAATGACTTGACAACTGCCACCCTGCTATAACATGGGAAATGACATTCTGCCAGGACATGGCCAATGCCATTCTGATACAACATGAAGTGGTTAGACTTGATTTACAAGACAGCAAAATGAAAGTATTGATTATGCCTAGATTGGGTATCAATATTCAATGTTTATTGCTCATGTGCAGTGCACATTTTAAATCAACATTTCTGTTAGTTCCCATGACAATAGTTCTTAAAATTTATCATCAAATTTTCCTCAATTCATAGTTCATATGGTCACTGAACATTTCACATTATTGAAGTGAACATTTTTAAAGTTAATTTAACTCATTTTATTTGCTCTTGGTTTCCATTTCAGTCTGCCACCATCACATCTCTCTTCACTCTAATCACAATCTATCTTCATCTAATCACAATCTCTCTTCAATCAAAGCACAATGTCTAATTTGTCAAATACAATATATTTTGGATTAAATAAATCTTATGTAATTTTTAAATTCATTTTTTTTATCAGATACTTTATAAGAAGGCATATTTTATCAGACAATGAGAAAACAACAGGCATAATATTAATATAGAAGGGAAAGTGTAAACAACAAATATGTACAATTATGCAGAAATGAACTCTTTTCATTTTTTTCTCTTTATCCCTCTTCCTCTCCCAGCAAAACCTTTGCCTTTCCACTTTTTGTCAGCGACACTGGCCTTGACCTCAGGCTGTGGGCTCTGATCTTTGTGTAAGAAATCATAGAGTTGCTGGGCATGCTGGGCACTCCCCAAGACTTGTGTCAGCTCCTCAAGGCTTGCCAGGGACACTTCAGACAGGTTAGTGAACTTGTTCAGGATGGAATGGAAGTTTTTGGAGTTGATGCCTGGCATCCTCAAAACAAAATCCTAAGCATAAAATATAAATGAACTAATTTGGGGCATTGATAGAATACAATATATAAATGAATTAATTTTGTGGATTTACAATATACAATATATAAATGAATTTATTTTGGGGATTAACAATATACAATATATAAATGAATTAATTTGGGAGTATTGATAAATTCAATATATAAATGGACTAATTCAAGACCCGTACATGTACACTGTAGACTTAACACAAAAATGGCTTATTTTTATACCCATTTAAAATGTACATTCAAAAATTAATTCTTGTTTGCTTAAACAAGTAACTACCTGCGGCCCATGATTATATTTATCTGTCCAGTCTGGCATTTCAGAAGAAGCTGCACTGACTGTCATAGCGATTTCTGCATTGGGCTGAGGTCTACCTGCCTGTAAAAACAATTACAATAATAGTTAAATACACAACTGGTCGCATGTACAATCACAATTATTCTCTTATGAAATTGGTTGTAGTGTACAGTCCTAATAATAATTAAATTAAAATCACAGCCTGTACAAGCTGGCAGCTAGGACAGCTAACCTTTAATTCCTCAAACAACTCTGCTGTCGCATATGGTGATGGACACCACAGAAGTCGGAGCTTTGGGAACTGCATGGTGAGAATGGCCAGTTTGGTGGTGATATCTTGTAGGGACACATCCTGACTCACAGTTGACTTGACCTATGAGATGATAGACACACATAGAATCAACTAGTCATATGACAGTCACACAGAATCAACCATCAACAAAGTAAGACATACTCAAAATAAAAAAAAACATTATTCCTGGCTTTTCATGTTTGTCAAGATGAAATTCTGGCACTAAAGACAAATCAAGTATTTAAAAAAAAAGCCAATAATATACAGTAGAACCTGGTTATGTCGCCTAAGGGTTTGCCAAAAAAGCATTAGAGATCAAGATAAACGAAAACCAATATGGCGGCAATATATTAACATGTGGTTGAAATTTCTTTATGCACATGATGTGTGTTAATAAATGAGAATTTACATGCACATGTTTTTGAATTTTTTTTTTTTTTTTTTTTTTTAATAAAAAATCGTTGCCGCGATTTTTTTTTTTTAGCTATTTGAAGTAGTTATTATAAACAAAATTATTACACAGGAACCAATAAAAGTGAAATTTACATGCACATGTTTTTGAATTTTTTTTTTTTTTTTTTTTTAACACAACATCGTTGCCGCGATTTGTTTGTTGAAGCAATCTGAAGTAGTTATTAAAAACAAAATTCTGACACAGGAACCAATCAAAGTGCTTATTTTAGTAAAAGGCAAGGGCTAGATCACGTGATACACAAAGTAGGTCAGGAAAATAACAAATTTTGCATGAAATTAACGGCGATTGAAAGTTTCAGTTGCTTTCGTAATTTTCGCGATTCAAAATAACACCCAATATAATTTATTTTAAACTTGTTTATTTGTTTGCCATTTCTTCTTGCGGAGTTCAAAAGCCGGCGATTGGACATAAGTTGGCCCCTTTTGTGCTCGAGATATAAGGGTTCGACGACATAAAAAGAATTGACAATAGAAAATGCTAAGACAAAGAGAGAATTTGGCGGTTCCACTTCAAAATCGTCAACTTAATAGGGTTGGCTAGTTAACTGAGGTTGAGATAAGGGGATTTGTATTTCAATTGTAAATGTAAAAAAAATATATCTATGGAGTACAAACTCTGAATCTTTTTTAACGATAGTCAACGCTTTTTAAATGTAATTCATTGGCATATAAGTTTAAATATTAATATTTTGATGGTTTAAAGAGCACAATGTAAGAGGATAATTTTTATTTATAGGGTTAGGAATGGTCAATGGGATGGTTAATCAAAACTGGATCCTAGATTTGCAAAACTGAATCCAGATTTTGAAAAATTTCTGAGGGATTGAAAACCCTAATTGTTTTTACTGCTAAGGGTTTAATAAATCTATAAATATCTTTCTTATCTAGTGTGCCCAAATACTTCATATTAATCTATAAATATCTTTCTTATCTAGCGTACCCAATATTTTATGCTAACCTGTAATGAGAAGGGCTTGTTGGCATCAAACTCTATTAATAGAATGGGTTTTTTGTAGAACCTTGACATGGACAAGGCTTGCTGATACAAACGGCCATTGTTAAGTGACCCAATCAGATCACTTACACTCTTTCTCTCAACACAAATATCAGGGGTCAGTATGTAATCTCCAACCTGTAAAACCCATAAATGTAGTGATAAGGTAAAATATTGTAGGTATGAGGTAAAACATTGTAGGAATAAGGTAAGACATTGTAGTTATCAGGTAAAACAATGTAGGTATCAAGGTAAAAAAAAGTAGGTATGAAGGTAGGACAATGTTACAAGTGGTTGAACTTTGCCTGTCAGATTTATATAATTTATTGCAATGGGATAAAAAGTTGTAAATATATTGTGAGGCAATCTCACCTCAAGTGTAATTGGTTCAATCTCAATACCTCTACGGTGAATAAGTGAGGGAAGTTCACTCCTAAACTCTCTCATGTCAACAATAACCTGGCAAGAAAGACAAGTAACACACTTCTTCTTAGGTCTGATTAGATAATCTCTGTGTTACAGAATTACTTTTCAAAAAACCATAATAAATTTATACAAATATTCCATAAATTATTCCCATACCTTCTGAGACTGCGCACTGTCCAGACCGCCTTGTCTGGAACTGGTGGCTCCATTTTTACCTTTATCTCTTGCCAGATTTTGGTCGTCTTCACTCTTGCCGTCTTGGTCATCTGAGATGACCATAGTCTGGGGATGTTGAATTGCACTACGTTAGCTCAAACTAAATAACTTGATATCAAGTAGAGCGACTAAAATGAAATTTATTGATACTGCCGTTGGATTTTTCTGTATGTTTACTTAACTGACCCATCCTTTGATCAGCCCATACAGAGAGTCATTGAATTTTTACAAAACCTAAATAAAAATAAAATAGTTGAAACTTTTCATGAAAACAAAGAATTTGGGCTTCTTTAAACTGAAACATTAGATTCGAGCAAAAACACAATTAATGATCTTTCCTTCCTATTTATATTCTATTTGGAACAAGTTAATAACATTATTGATTACTTACAGCTTTCTCTCTGATTAGATACTCAAAAGCTTCTTTCTCTTTACGAAGTGTTGTCAGATACCTCTGCTCCTCTACTGATCCCTTATACATCAAGAAATAGACCCTCAAGGGCTTGCCAGGTCGTTTTGCTTTAAAAACCTGCAATACAATCATGTGGATGTAGACTGCAGGCTGATCATTTCATTTTAACTGTTAACAAACAAACCAATATGGAGCTCAAATATAAACACTGAACTTGTAGGGTAGGTCAGGACGGAGGAGTAAAAAAAAAAGGCCAGTAAAGACATTAACCTCTAGCTGCCGCACTAGACTCATGTCTGCATCATACAACACCACGTATTTAGGCTGAATCTCCTCTAAGGTACGGGTCAAGCCATGTGGGTCGGAGCAGCCATGCAGCGGGTGGATGATGGTCATTGGTGAATTTACTATGCCGAAATAAGCATCTTTTGAACTGGTCATTTTTCCTGCTGTGTCCTAGAATATATCGATGAATGCAATTATTAAACAGCTTCTGAAAAGCAGACTTTTATTGTAAAAAAATTTAAATACTGAAAATATGACATATTCTTGTTTATTGTTGAAAATATGAGATAATTTTTATCCAGACTCGTTTACCCCAGGGTTAGTGTCAGAGTAGTTTCAGTTCTTTTCAAGAAACAAAGAGTAGTTTGGTCTATTAGCCGGGAAAAGGGGGGGGGGGTGCGCGCCGGTGTGCGATCAAAATACAAGTTATATCAGCCAAAATGTTAAATATTATGGTTGGTTTATTGACATTGAGACCGCGAAGGCAAATAAATCACTGTTATTCTCATTCCATTGATTACAGTGTCAACACAAAAAATGCGTTAACTTTTTACAGAAAACACTCCAATTATTTAATTTTTTATTTATAATACACCAAACGAACGAAAAAATAACCAAAACTGTAGTTTGTTTTATTTTTGGGCTCGGTGTAGTGCCATAGTCTTGGGCTTAAAAGCGTAGTTGCTAGTAGTAACTACTACAAAAGCGTAGGGGTTAACAGGTCTGTTGATCACAAATTTGCCTAATACAATTGTCAAAATTAAATGACTTGACTTAGTTGACAGAGACATGAAGCTAATAGGTTACTTTCTCATCTTCTTCAGAGTCATCCCCCCTTGAAGTTTTCAGCATTTGAGTCAAAGTCAAGGTCACCGGGTCATCTTTAGATTTCTTGCATTGTGCTTTCTCCTTATTCTTGCCTTGTATTTGCACATCCCCAGCATTCTTTAAAAACATACAAGAATAAAACAGTAACCATTTAGTAATCTTAATTTAATTGTAATGCTTAAAATTGTTTGAACTCCATGCTTCATTCCATGGTGTTATTAAACAAAGAAAAACTTACTCTGTCCAGTTTTGAGCCTTTTTTCATCATGAGATATTTCTTAAATAATCTGTTCATCAACTCCTCTCCACCTTGGCAAAGATACTGAAGAATTAACGTGACAAAAACCACTTATTACATGTAATGAGTAAGTTAACTGATATTTAAAAAGGTATGTGTTCAATTTTGTAAAGCACTTTTAAATGACTAGTATGTGTTAATAAATATGAAGGAATATTCAACAGCCATATTAAAAAAAAAAATGCAATTTGAATTGTAATAAAATGTAAAATTATTTGAATTTATGTATCTTTTTCATTGATAATACACGAAAAAAAACTAGTTTTAATGCCTTTTTAATCTAATATTGTATAATCTAATTTTATATCATTTAAATGTTTATAATCTATTTTAAAATATAATATTATACATTTTAATATTGTAGAAATTTCTTATGAATAGCAATATATTTGTCAACAATGTATTCAATATGCACCAAAATGCCAATATATTTGGTTTTAAGCAATTCTTTAAGGCACTGACCTCTTTAATTTGATTGCATGTGCGATCATCTTCAGCACAAATGAGAATTCGATGTGATGGTTGAAGTGGGTCATTAGAGCCATCTTCAGGTGGATTTATCTCACAACAGGTGTCCTCCTCCTGGGTTATTTCAGCCAGTATTTCACTCAAGGCCAGCCATTTAGGACACTTTTCCAAGCCTTGACTCGCTTTATAATATTTAAAAAGTAACATTTTAACATGCAAAGAACTCTAAAAAGACTAACTCCATGTAATTATAGATTTCTTTTGTTCATCTCCGCTTAGTCCTATCCTGTATTCTGTCACAATCTGAAGCAGAATTTAGTCATATAAAATAAATCTATTCCTGATAAAGCGATAAAATATACGCTAGGTGTTTTTAGATTTTCTGAAATTTTTATATTCCAATGAAAATGATATTGGTTGATTACCTTCATTCAATGACATTGGTTAATTACCTTCATCCTCATCTGTATCTTCTTCTGCTTCTTTATCTTTCTGTTTTTTTTGTTTTTTATTTTCCCTGAACTTAGCATTCCCATAAACTCGCTCTTTGGCTTGCTGGAATTAAACAGGTTGAATTCTTTTTCTATCTATTTCTATGATATTTGATACATAAGCTATCTTTCATTAAATGATAATACAAAGGATTACCACTAAGCTTATTTGGATTAAGTGGCTTTGAACAAGCCTTTTTTTTTACCAACCATATCAACTTACCACATACAAACTATCTGCAGCATCTAAAAAAAGCCAGCCAGTGTTTTGTCCAAATGCTCTTTCGCTTTCTCTGTAATGTAAGTGGTAACCATAACAACAATTTTGAAAAAAACCATTGCTAGAACTACAAGTAGATGGATGTTCAAAATTAAGGAGGGGGGAACTCTACTTAAAAATTCTTTTAAAAATAATGCATATAAAATTTAAAAAATAAAAGTCACCTTTGTTTTTTATTTTCTTTAAACTGAGTATGAATAATGCACATAATTAAAATTAAGGTAACATGTATAATAGATTTCGATTATAGTATCTGAAGTTGAACATAGGTCGCAATGCTCATCGTTGCCTGGTCTTGGCATCAACTTCATAGGTACTACTGATAATTTTAAACCTTCACACATATAAGATTTCTGATGGAAGTTTCAATTTCAACATTCTAGCATTTTGTTAGACATTGAAAAGTATAATAGCCAGGAATAAAAGAACTATAAACAACACAACATCCATTTATTTACCTTATAGACTGCACAAGACTAAAAAATGTGACACAGTCATACTGTGTTAGGTGCCTAAGGACATACCAAAAATTAAAATTAAGCTGTGACTCTCTGCTGAAAAGTCTGTATAAAGAATGATTAATATTTTCAAGCAATCACCATCACTATTTTGTGTGGTTGGAGGTTTGGGAGCAGGGGTGCGCCAGTGATAACATCATCATAGTATTTACAAAAAAAGTGCATTTGGATTTCCTTTGCAATTAGCATCTAAGAAAGGGGTCAGTAGCTTCCATCTTAGTGACAAAGGGGTCCATGAAAACAAAAAGGGTGAGAACAGCTGCTTCACCGAGAGATTAAAGTGTGTTTATTGAAGCCCTCTAGTACCCACCTGAGTATAAGCCTGAGTGTTTTCAAATCAGCCACAAGTTGACGTGTTCTAGCACTGAGCAGATGCCAGATGGGCTCAAGCTGAAGTCTTATTATCATCTCAAAAGACTTGGACAAGGCATTTTCAACTGTTATCTCATCAGTATCAATCTGTTCATATTAAATAAAAACATTTCTAACCCGAGCATGTGCATTCTATAGAGTGATGAAAACATTTCTAACCTGCACTTGTACATTCTTTAAAGTGATAAAGTTTTCTTAAAACTGTATTTACTGTTGTAAGCATAAATTAAAACATTTAGTTTTTAGGAAATATATTTTGGATCCATTTCCAAAGTGAACTTTTCCCCCTTTCAAATTCACAAAAAGAAAGAAGAGTTATTAAAAATAGCTAGCAGCTCTCTTTTGTAAAACCTTTATATTGGAAATTAATTTATTTACAAAATATCAAGAGTTAACCTAAATGTGTTTTGTTCAATTAATGTCTTATTGTTAGAAGACCCTTCATAGCACAGGCTGAATAGAAAATAAATAATCAAATTTACACTTGTGTTAGAGCGTTTTAATTCATTGATACAAGCGTTGATGAGGTCGAGAAGGAATGTTTGACAGGCTGTCATGGCAGGGGTCATGGTCTGATGAATTTCTATCACATCAACCTAATCAGTTAAAGAAATAAATGAATAAATCATAATTTTATTTGTCACATTTAAAGAGTATCTATTCCTATGACATCAAATATATAATATATAATAAAAAATGTAAAAAATTATATCCAAATAATGCTTTGACTTGCAGCTTAACTGAAAGATTAAAGTATATTTCATTGCTCTAAACAAATTTACAAATTGTCCTACAGAAGAGGCAGCTGTAAGAAACGTTTGGGCTTCAATTTAATGAAAATAAAAGTAGGTAGCAGATTATAACCATGTGGTCATGACAGCTTATGTTGAATAACTTCACATAACAGAAATATTGGTAAAATGGTTTACACAATGCATCACAATAATAACTAACTATTAACATTTAAATTTTAAAAGATATTTAGGTGATGATAAAAATTTAAATTGTAAAGAGTTGCTTTATTATTATTTTTTTTTAATGTTAAAGCAATACATCTGGGCAGATATAGGCATGTACAATCAAAATCTTAGAGGACTTCAATGTCAAATGAAACAATTTAAAAAAACAAAACTTTTAAAACATGGTTTTTCACATTTGTACTGAAAATTATAAAATGAATGTCCCCCAAAAATTCAGAGTTGTTACAGTCATGTGACTAAAAATACATGGGCCTCCCATGAACTCAATGTTCTTTGTTGCAGTTAAATTGGAGATCAGAAAGTGTGTCAAAATTGAGATGCAAGCTTTGACCACACACAAACGAACAAATGGACAGAGAAATTCATATGTCTTCATTGTATTATTAAGTGGCGCCCGACACTTTTTAGTCATATGAACGTAATAACTCTCAAAGTTTCAGGACATGAGGAAGTAGGTATAATTAAGATGCAAGATTTCATCCGCAAAGGTCACTCAAGGGTCAGTGGAGATCACTGGAGACCTACTGATCATAAAGGGTTTTATTGTCGTCGGGGGGTGGGTAAGTGTACAAGTTTCAGCTTAACTGGACATCAGCAAAGGATTAAAAATAGTTATTGCAAGATTTGACCCAGAAAAAAAAGGCAAAATTGCAAGCTATATAGAAGAATGAAAAATACACAATTGCAAACTGATAAGCTACAAATTTTAACATTTTATAAGCATTCAGCTACTAATAATTTAAAAATGTTACTTTCACCTTGTGTCGTTTAAATGTGGAAACTACAGATGCATGAAATCTAGGCCACAAGAATAATTTCTTTACAAACAGATTCTTCATCATTCTCTCCACATGGCAGAAGCCACTTGTAAATGCTTCAGGATTGTCTGTGAAGGCTTTAATGAAGCCAGTCTATAACAGCAAATGGTTCTTAGATTATTTGTGAGCAACCACATAATATTTTGAGAAAATGCTTGCTACAAAAATTGGTAACAAAATAATATGGCTAGATTTAAAACGTTTTAAATTCAGTTTCTTGATTAATGCCTAATTAATTTCTTTGATTATTTATTTCTGCATAAAGCTCCGTTAGGAGAAAAAATGAATTTTTAGTATAAATTTGTTCAAAAATCAAGAAATAATAAGATTAATTAAAAGTAGTTGCAATGATTTTCTTTTTACCTTATTTTTTTGTCTGTATAACCGGAGAATAAATGCTTCTTGACAAGATTCAATTATCCTTTAGAAATGATATTTATACTTTATAAAATTATGTTATAAATTAAACAAACATAATTGCAGAATTTTAAAACCTAAAAATACTGTTTTTTTACAACAGACTTAAATATATATTTTTTATTTTTTTGTTATAACTACCGGACATTTTAATATTTTTACATATTGTACTGTACTCACTTGTGTGCTCTGTAAACAATGACGCCTGTAACATGGTCGATTGGAACTCTGTCTGTCAGGAGATCTACAACCAATATCCTTGATGTAATGAAAAGCACTCCGCCTTGCACATATATTGACTGTCTGTAGATAATAATTCAAAATGATATTAAGCGTGTGGATTAATTAAACAGCACTCCAAATAATAATATTATGAATGATATTTATAAATAAAATTAAACTAGTGTAAAACATTTAGTAGATCAAAGGTTTTATTCTAAATGAACAAAAAAATGTTGGCTTTATAAATATTTTAAAGAGATCAGCCCGGGGGGTTTGGCTAATTGACAGGCGTAGCAGATTTCAAGCTAACGAAAAAGCACGAATTGGACAGTGACCCCAGATAAATCAAGATGTGGAATGCAGGGGAGGTCACAGGGCACAGTAGAAGACTGGCGAATCAGCACGCTCTTAAGATTGCAACAGATGCCACGTTCCAAGAAAAGCATGAGTTTGACAGCACACTAGGATAAATCAAGACGTTAGAAGACAGCGGAGGTCACTGTGAGGGAAAAACACAATAGCACAAGCGTGATGGTGGCACTAAAATAATTAGGCATTAGATTAGCACTGGGATGTAATCTCTAGAGACACGTCGGTCGGCTCGTGGACCTATAAGAGGGAGAAGTCGGGGAGTTAAGAAGTGAAGCCGAGAAAGCAAAGTCAGAGAGTGAAGCTGAGGGGAGGACGACGTTGGACAGAGAGTTAAGCCGGATGGAGGGACAGCCGGACGGTCTACTGGACAGGAGTAGAAGATAGACATGAGAAGACAGTAACCCGGGACAGTCAGAGCAGAGTTCCAAGGTCTTGATTGTCGAGCAGATCAAATAAAGTGAAAGGCTAACAGTCAACGGGTTGTTACCTGAGTGTTGCAGTAAGAGAGACAGAGTGAACCATCCACATAAAGTAGATAGAGCAGCAGTTCTCAACCATGGGTCGCCTAAGACCATCTGAAAACACATATCCTTACAGCTATGAAATAGCAACGGAAATAATTATGTGGCTGGGGGTCACCACGACACGAGAAACTGTGTTAAAGGGTCGCTGCGCTAGGAAGGTTGAGAACCACTGAGATAGAGGAACGAGGCGTGACACTTGGTTTCTTTACAATATCAAACTAAAATTACCTTTCTGTTGCACTGATCTCATTAGTGACAATCTTTGGGGGTTGTGAGATGCCTTGCTTTTCAAGCACCTCTGTAAAGTAGGACTGCAAAATGTAAAAGGTTTACTGCTTTAGGAAGAAATCTTTAAGTTATGCCAAATTTTCAAATCTATGAGTCAAAAGAGCTAAAATTTACAACATCGGTATGAGAATAAAATGTCACAGCAACTTAAGTTGACATTAATTCAATATTATTTAAAACAAATATTGTTTCATTACTATTACTCCATTCTCTACATCTGCATTTCATTTGCAGCAAAGTTACATGATTGTTAACTAAAATTAGTATGAGAATATTCTCTTACCTCATCTGCTGGTGTTGTATTTAAAACAAGGACTAAACTGGCTGGGTCACTGTAAACTTTTAAAAACTCAGTAAATAGATGGCTGATTCCTAGCCCCCTGTAACAAAATCTCTTTATTAATATCCACAAAATTTTTTTAAAAAGCTCTGTGCATACTTTATTACAGAGCTCTTATTCAATTATAAGGTGACTTGGCTGGATTTGATGAACTCTTATTATAATTTGGGTTTTCCATGGTTCAAATTTATTGTTTAAATCTGCTTGCAAAATAATTTTGAATCTTTCTATACACACAGACATCATGTCTTTGTTACAAAATTACAAGATTATATAACAAATATTAATTTTGCACATAAAATATGATGTGCAGCATTTAACACTGGCAGCATTGACTATGTCAGGAATAATGCAGCATAATTGTGGGGATACAATGAAGTTGCTTTATTTATCAAAAATTATGCTTATGCCAATGTGTGTAAGGGAGTATTGATTGAATGATCTCTGTCCATGGCAAATAATGAATACTATGGTATAGAGTACAATTTGTATGAAATACAATGGACCTTTTTTAAGCAACAAGAAGCCCTGGAATTTGCAGATGACATCACACTATTATCCCAAAACCATAAACAAATACAACTGCAAAGCTTGATTCAAAGTCCAGACAGATTGCACTTGTAATAAATAAAAACAAAACAAAAGTAATGAGAATAAATGCAAAGTGGGAGAGCACTAGGAGAAAATTTTACCAACTAGATAGTAAACAATGGAGGTTTGAAGGCAGATATAAAGACAAAAATACAGAAGGTGCTATTCCTTCATTAAAAATTATTTTGAACTCAAGGGAAATAAGAAGAAATATGCACAGGAAACTCCTCGGCATAAGGTGGCAAGACAAAGTTCCTGACACAGAGGTTCTCGCTAGAGTGAACCTACCTAGTATCTTCACCACCCTGATGCAGTCTCAAATCCGTTGGATTGGACATGTAGCCCGTATGGAAGACCACTGGCTCCCAAACAGATATTCTTCGGAGAAATCACGCTAGGCAAGCGCTCCCAAGGAGGTAAAAAAAAGGTTAAAAGACTCACTGAAAGCGCCACTAAAGGCCTTCAGCATCAATCCTACTCAATGGGTACAGAGAGCCCAGGACAGAACCAGGTGGAGAGCAGCTGTTAAGAAGGGGGCTAAATCCCATGAAACTAGTAGGCAAACCACAGCTGAGACACGCAGGCTGGCCCGAAAGAGCAACATTAGGTCACTGTCTGCAGCAACTATCCCCTACCCGCGGTGCCAGAAATTATTATTATTGGTCTAGCAAGCCACCTACGAGCTCGCCGTTACCCACCCTCCACCCTAACTGGATTGACTCCATGGTTGATTCTGACGGACGAACAACAATGTCTTATTAGTTACTGTCCAGCAAGCCCACTAATCAAAGAACACAGCACGGTAGTACCTTCGCACTGTGTCATAAGTTTGTAGAATGTTTCTGATAAAACATTATTTGAAATATGAACCGGCGCTTGCTGTTTGCCGGCCATGGTATTGTTTATTTTATATTATTACAAGTAATAAATAGTCAGCTAACAAAATTTGATGTAAACAATTACGTCAATAATTATCGGTGGCTATTAGCCGCACTTTCTAAATTGTTATGTAAAGTATTACATTTTTATTTTGAGGAGTGCCCATTGCCCTATAATTAAGCAACTGGGTAAATTTTGACTACGATTGCCACTATTTTCTCAATGGCCGCCATCTTGGTTAACACGTCACGTGAAGTCATCTATCCCTATGCCTAACCTGAACCCTAAATCGATCCCAATGCCTAATAATTTAGTAAAAATAAACAAAGGGAAGTCAATCCCTGGAAAATAAGTCGTGGCAATCGTAACTAGGATTAGCCACCAACTGCTTACCAAGCAAGGGAATTGTTGATGTTAGAAATATTAACCCTCTGGAGACGTAAGGGCCGATCTATCGGCCCAAGGTTGACTAGCCAGAAAGACGTAAGTCCGAACCATCGGCCTGATAAATCGAGCCTCACGAATGGCTGGCATGGCGTTGTACCAGCAAATCAAATATTATGGTTTTTGATTATGGCATCCTTCCGTCTACGTGAGACGATGGAGTAGCTATATAGTTCTACACTTTGACGAGTGGCTCACTAGGCCAATCCTTGAATGGCAATCACGGCCGCATCTCTCGCAGGAGAGATGGGGGCTTTCATGGGATTTAGCCCCCTTCTTGTACCAGCAAATCAAATATATTCTTACGTATTCCTGCACATCCCGGCATTGTAATGGCGGCGTTCGTTGAAGGTGAACTCAACATATTAATGTGCAGGAATTAATTTTTTTGTGTATAGTTACATCGTGAAATTCGAACATGTCTGACAGTGACTCTGATTGTGCTTAGTAATTTTTATATTCTTGCAGTGAATCTGACACTGAAAATGATGAAAACAACCAAATAAAGACTTTCACATTGAGGGTAGTGCTAATGTTGTGAACTTTTGGTTTAGTATTACTAGTATTAGTATTAGCGGTCCTCAAATGGAAAGAGATGACCCCTCTGAATTTTTAGACAACATAAGTCCTATAAATAAGGCATAAGCACACCATTTGAGTACTTTATGCTATTTTTTACACTAAATATCACTCAAGTGTTAATGAGAGAGACCAATAGATATGCAGACAACTGAGGAACATCCAGCTTAAGAGAAGGTCCCTAGGTCATAAATGGGGGCCTGTTACAGTGTGTCTGTAACAACTGAAAATAAGGGGTGGGGGTGGAAAAGGAGTAGAACCATGTGCCAGAGGTGTCTGAAGGGCCTTCATGGGCCTTTTTCCCCAAAAAATAAGTATTAGGACTTATTCAGGCTTCATCCATCAAAAAATTCACACAATTGATACAAGTAAGTCAAGTTTATTCTAGGTGTAACAAAAAAATACAGGCATAAATTATTCTAGTAAGGATAGCTCATTTGCATAAATTTTGATATTTCAGTTTGATTCATAAAGATTGTATTAGTTCATTCACTTTCCTACAAGAATATATATAGTTTTACACATATTAAGGGAATAGTTTATTTTTTATAATTTTTTTTGCAATGCGAAGGTCGAGCTCGTAAAAAGTGCTCCGTCTTTTTGGCACATAGCCTACAGTGTACACCCCGAAAAGGCTCCGTCTCCAGAGGGTTAATAAATAACAACAAACAATATGGACATAAGACTCATAACTCATAAGTATCATAAAATAAGTTTAAGTGTAGAAACCATTTTTGAGTTTAAACTTTTGGTTACCTGGACATAATGAGAAGTCCATCTTCGTGAAAAGCATCCAAAAATATTTGATTTTCAAATTCCAGCATTTAAAATGAAACAACTGTTTGGCAAATATTAAATTACTCTACTAGTCTTTATCATCTTTGTCTTTATAATTTATTAGTTCAGTCTCAGTAGCCTATTTCAATTTCATTGAGTTGTAGTGTAGTGATTGTAGTTGTAATTTAATAAGTCAATAAGTCGTATAAGTCAAATTCAGGTACCTTTAACTTTAAGTTAACTTACTTTATAATATTTATAAGGCCTTGGCTATTATTAACTTTATTATTTACTTAAAATTATAAGCATATATACTACGCCTAATAGTAGTAAGAGAGTCAAGTTAAGTAGAGTATTAAATGTTTCGTAAACGACGTCGGCTACTAAGACCAGATCAAGTCATTGACTGGAAAAATCTTTTAAATGAAAAAAAAAATGTAAATAGCAGAGGTCTCCAGGGTTGAAGAATGATTAAACTACTTCAGCTGCAGATACGTTAAAAGTTATATTTGTTTAAATAGAAAGTTATCATCAAGGCTAAAAAAGGGAGTAAGATATGTATTTTGTACCAAACAACTTTCCCATAGTCTTTAAAAAGTGAAAAATTAAAAAATGAAAAGGTCTAATCATTAAAAAAAAATAAATAAAATAGACAGACACGTTGACTGAATCAGCACGATTTATTGCTTTACGTAAACAGTTAATTTCAACGGAGTCACCGGTATATCTTCTTTTATCTGAGAAATTAGATTAACAATACAAGCTCCATGCTTTTGGAACTTGCCAGATAAACTCTTCAGACCGTAATTGTTATATTTACAATTACCTGAGTCAGTTAACTTACAAACAAGTAAATAATAATATTATTGAAGAATTAAAAAAAAATGACACTCTAAACAGTACTCGCAATATAAAGAAAAGAAACAAGCTATTTTATAGATCAGTAATTGTCGCCGATGCGTAGGTAGCCTTACACATTCATTACCTGTTTTTAAGGATATCCTTTAAAATGGCGGATGCTTTTGGTTCTGATCTGTTTGATGTTTTTCAAGATTCTTCAACTAAAGAATCCCAAGGAACATCCAAAGAGAAACAAGATGACAAAAAGTAAGAATATAGAAATAAAATTATTAAATATCTTTTCAGCTAATAATCTATAGTCTATATATTGTTTTGGCATTTATTGGACTGGGTCAATAAAACTCATTTCTGTTTCTGGTTGACAAGTTAAAGTTGAAGTGGTTGTATACTACGTAATATGTATATTATATGCCATAAGATGTAGGCACTTGGATACAAAATTAAAAAAAATTCAAATAATTTTTTTAATAGCACAGTTAGTTAGAGCTAATTTCAAATTAAAAAAATGAAACCAGAATCAACTTTTTAGCTTAAGTACTTTTTGAGCTATGAATTTTTAAAGTGTGAGTTCGTTTGGTATTTTTTACTATGGACGAAACCTCCACATCTTGTGACCTCATTCCGCTGATCGCGTCATGCGCAATGACTATATACTTTATATAAGGCAACGCATCGCCTTATCACTAAAATACTGTTTAGGGTCGACTTAGTTTAAATAGATACTTCGATGAAACAAGGGAGACTACTATTTTTTTTGTATCGGAAATGGCTGTCGGCGCCGAAAAATCCGAGTTTTTAATTTTCCGATGTGTGTGTCTATTTATTATTAAATTAGTTCTTTCCACATATATTTGAGTTCCGTTTCCGGCCTTATAATTTGGAAGACATCTTGGCCTACATTTCTAGCCAGCTATTTTGCTTTTTTCAATCTTTGGTATATATAAGGCATCTTCGCATACAAAATTTTTTGTGAAATAATTAGATAAGGTCCTTTTTGATTAAATCTGTATGATCATTAGATATTGATCTATATTTGTGCCAAGTTTCATTGATGTAGGTCATGTCTCACGTTTGTTACACTTGTCACAGTGACCCATATCACCATAAGGTGGCTCAGCCTAATTTCGACATGGCGTGGGCCACGCCCCCTTTTTAATGGCGGAAGTTGCCGATACTTAGGAAATATTTAATTATTACCACTATATACATCAAAATATTTTATATTTTGTGTTTCAGAATGCATTTTGAAGACATTTAAACTGGAAATGTTTTAATTTGAGCTTTAAAAACCCTGCAGAGTCCATATTATAAATGATCAGAATTTTCCCTGTGCAACACGTTGTCATTGGCAACCATTCACAGCCACTTGCATAACGGCTACGTCGTAGTACTATCTCAGAGTTTCATTCATAAGAGTTTGCCGTGTGCAAATGGGCCACGCCCCCTTTTTAATGGCGGAAGTTGCCGATACTTAGGAAATATTTAATTATTACCACTATATACATCAAAATATTTTATATTTTGTGTTTCAGAATGCATTTTGAAGACATTTAAACTGGAAATGTTTTAATTTGAGCTTTAAAAACCCTGCAGAGTCCATATTATAAATGATCAGAATTTTCCCTGTGCAACACGTTGTCATTGGCAACCATTCACAGCCACTTGCATAACGGCTACGTCGTAGTACTATCTCAGAGTTTCATTCATAAGAGTTTGCCGTGTGCAAAAGCTTTTAAACCATTGGTCAGGGAAAGCTTTTATTAATTATTCATGTGCCAAAGTTGAAAGTTTAAAATAAGTCGACCCTAAACAGTATTTTAGTGATAGGGAATGCGTTGCCTTATATAAACTATATAGTCATTGCGCATGACGCGATCAGTGGAATGAGGTCACAGAATGTGGAGATGAAGTCCATGTTAAAAAATGACAAACCAAGTCGTACTTTAAAAATTCATAACTTTAAAACTACAACAGCTAAAAATATGATTTTGGTGTTATAATTCTGTTTAAAATTAGCTCTATTCAACTGTGCCATTGGTTTATTTTTAAAAAATGTTTACATTTTTGACAAAAGTATCTAGTTTAAACTTAAACTTTCAACTTTGGCACATGAATAATTAATTAAAGCTTTCCCTGACCAATGGTATAGAAGTTTTTGCACACGGCAAACTCTTATGAATGAAACTCTGAGGTAGTACTACGATACAGCCGTTATGCAAGTGGCTGTGAATGGTTGCCAATGACAACGTGTTGCACACTGTAAATTCTGATCATTTATAATATGGATTCTACCGGGTTGTTAAAGCTCAAATTAAAACATTCCAGTTTAAATGTCTTCAAAATGCATTCTGAAACACAAGTTATCAATTATTTTGATGTAGATAGTGGTAATAAATTAATATTTCCTAAGTATCGGCAACTTCCGCCATTACAAAGGGGGCGTGGCCCACCCCATGGCGAAATTAGGTTGAGCGAGCTGCATGACCTGCTGCGAACGCGTAGAAACATAGCGTCTCTCGTAAGACACTTATCGCTGTGAAAATTGGCATACATGTAGATCAATAGATTCCCCAGATGCAAAAAAAATTTGGTAGTGACAAATTTTTTCCTTCGACTTAATTTTAATGAAATGTCTTCAAAATGCATTCTGAAACACAAGTTATCAATTATTTTGATGTAGATAGTGGTAATAAATTAATATTTCCTAAGTATCGGCAACTTCCGCCATTACAAAGGGGGCGTGGCCCACCCCATGGCGAAATTAGGTTGAGCGAGCTGCATGACCTGCTGCGAACGCGTAGAAACATAGCGTCTCTCGTAAGACACTTATCGCTGTGAAAATTGGCATACATGTAGATCAATAGATTCCCCAGATGCAAAAAAAATTTGGTAGTGACAAATTTTTTCCTTCGACTTAATTTTAATGATGAAAGTTGCCTTATATTTACCAAGGATTTTCTCAAAGCTGACTGATTGTAAATGAAAAAGAAATTGATTAAAATGTAGGCCAAGATGTCTACCTAATTATAAGGCCGAAAACGGAACTCAAATATATATGGAAAGTACTAATTTAATAATAAATAGACACACACATCGGAAAATTAAAAACTCGGATTTTTTGTCGCCGATTGCGAAATCCCATACACAAAAAGTAGTAGTCTCCCTTGACTTACCGAAGTATCTATAAGATGTCTTACTCTTGCCTTACCCATTGTTTTTAGAGTAATAAATCTTAAGCCCCATAATCTATGATAAATGCAAAGAATGGCTGCCATGTTTTTCTGTCAACTTGGTTGACACGACCAGTTAATTCTGTCACTAAACCTAACTAAATCATATTAAGACTAAATGTAGAATGTAGATACTTCGGTAAACCAAGGGAAAAAAATAGTTTTTGTGGGTAACCCTTTTTGTGTATCGGAAATGGCAATTGGCGCCGAAAAATCTGAGTTTTTAATTTTCCGATGTGTGTGTCTATTTATTATTAGGGAAGCGTTATACGCAGTCGGCTGCGCATAATCCTGAGAGTTATTCCCAGCCGACTGCGTATAACTCTCAGGGTTATACGCAGTCGGCTGGGAATTTAGCCAAATAATGTTTATTACCGCTAGTTTGGCAATTTCCAAAAAAATATTATGCGTAATTAGCCGCATTATGGGTTGTTTTGAACTATAACTTTTAATGTGTTTAACGTAAGACTTAAAATTTTAATTGAATTAATTTTAATTAATTTTGTATAATAGTAATAGTATTAGTGCTATTATTAGTATTGCTTATATCTGATAAATTATAAGTCAAAGTCTAAATTACTTAGAGTCTAAGACTAAGAAGATGATTATGCCTTAAGGCAGCGGTTCTCAACCTGTGGGTTGTGACTCCTTTGGTGGTCGAATGACCATTTCCCAGGGGTCGCCTAAGACCATCGGAAAACACACACGCTCAAAAGTTACGAAGCAGCAACGAAAATAATTGTGTGTTTGGGGGTCGCCACAACGTAAGGAACTATATTAAAGGGTCGCGGCATTGGAAAAGTTGAGAACCACTGCCTTAAGGCATTTCCTTGGTTTAAGTCTGGTTCTGTATTCTGATTGATTAGGTTTTTATATGTTGCTATGACTATGTGGTTGGTTTCACTGACTAATTCAGGAAATACATTCTATTTATTTTTAAAAACTCGTATAACTTATTTTAATTGAGGGGGGGGGGTGACCTAAATGTAACAGTTTTCAGCTTCCATGCAAAACTATAACTTTATAACTGTGTGAAAGTATTACCTACAGAGCCCCCTGCCCCTACAGCTATTTGTTTCTGCTACTCTCCACCCCTGATTATAATTCTAATCATGTTTTAACATTTTTTAGCCAAAACAAAAGTGAAATAATTAACCGAGCTGTTGGTTCATTCTCGAGAACAAACATAAAATCTAACACATGTTATACAATCTTGACCGGCCCTTGGCTGGAATTGAACTCCCAACCACCAACTTAAGATTTCCTCAGTTTAAACCCTTTGACCACCTAGTTATCTTAATAACGTGGTTCCTTTATCGCCTCATGCTGTAATACAGGAAGTATGTAGACCTCACGTGACTTGCCGACTGCGTATAACTCTCAGGGTTATACGCAGTCGGCTGCGTATAACCACTCCGTTATTATTAAATGAGTACTTTCGACATATATTTGAGTTCCGTTTTCGACCTTATATTTTGATAGACATCTATCTTGGCCTACATTTACATTAATTTGTTTGGATTTTTCAATCGACCTGTGTAAGGCATCTTTCACTAAAAAATTAGTATAGAATTTCAACTTTTATGTCCATCATAAAAAAAAGTCTTATTCTGTATTATCTATCAATGTATATTTGTGTCAATTCTCATTGAGTTAGGACATGTCGGTCACTTGTTATGCTCACTTGAGTAAACCTCTATATGGTAATGTAGCTCAGCCAAATTTCGATGAGGAAGTGGCCACGCCCTCTTTCAGTGGCGGAAGATACTGTTACTTAGGAAATATATAATTATTTACATCAAAATATTTGAGAACTAATGTTTTAGAATGAATTTAAATGTTATTGAAAGAATAATATTTTAATTTGAGGTTAAAAAACCCGGCAGAGTCTATATTATAAATGATCAAAATTGTTCCGTGTGCAAAATGTCATGGCTGCCATTCACAGTTACTTGCATAATGGCTATTATTTACTATTATCTCAGGGTTTCCATTCATAAAAGTTTGCTGTGTGCAAAAGCCGTTAAACTAGGTCAGGGAAAGCTTTAATTAATTAGTCATGTACCAAAGTTGAAAGTTCAATAGTTCCCAAACAGTATTTTCGTATAAGGCATGAGTTGCCTTACAAAGACTATATAGCAAATATCGGTATAATGGACGTCGCAGACCTGTTTACCCCCAAACTCTTAAAATCGTACAATATCACCACAAAATTGTTCAATACATTATCTTAATAGTAAAAAAAACACACAGTGTATAATAATGCATACACCTCAAAATCGTACATTGTACGCCAAAATCGTAAGAGTAAACAGGTCTGACGTCGTAGATTTGGTAAACAGAAAATTTATAATATTAATACATTATATTAAATTTACTGATATAAATAGTGCGATATTAGATAAGCTACAATTTATCTATAATTGTTAACATTATGAAACGTAATACAGCATTAGTTCTGAAAATAAAATTATCATTAAAACAAGAGTTATATAGCTTTTGACGCGAACAGCGGAATTGGGTCACAGAATTTCGAGATGGGGGTCCATGTTAAAAAAGGACAATTCTACCAAGTTTTATGTGTAGTTTGTGCGTTTCTCAAGAACTCGTGCCACCCTTAGTCATGGGCTTTGTTTTTCAGTTTTTGTTATTGAAATGAAAGCATCTTTATGCTTGTTTTGTGTACTTTTTTGTCTTAGAGTGCGAGGGAATGGTATTCCTGCATCTTTTTTTTAGCCCATTTAACTTAACTTTAACTTACATTTTTATTTTCTTAATTAAACAAATGTGAGTTTTGACTCCGTAATTGTAAAAATAAATCACTGCAGCACTGATACTGACAACTAAGTGTATCCGCTCCTAAAATGTAAATAAATGAAGCACAAAGTATGGGAAAACCTGAAAAAAAAAATGCAACATTAGAATAAACATGTCAGCAAGAATAAGAAGTCTTCTTCAGCTAACAAACAACAGTGAAACCAAAAAAATTACAATAAAAATTTTGCTGCAATTTAGTGTCCAAGAGGGTAGCAGGAGAAATGTGATAGACCATTAGTAGTTAAGAGAGTTAAAATAGGCAATATGGGACGGAAGAGAGGCAAAGTAAGTCCACAGGGATTGGTTGTAACAAGTACAGGGTGGAGAAAAGATTTATCAAGGGAAGGAGAACATGATATTGATACCATTAGGTGTCAAGCAGCTAAGTATTTATTTTAAATGTTACATTACCTCAACGACACACGCACGCAGACAGAAAGATGACAGACGACAGACAGATGACTGACAGACAGACAGAGCTGATGTGGTAAAACGTAACACTGACTTCACGGATATAGAGAATTGTTGGAATAAACTCCTTTGTATTAATGAAGGAAAAACTGCTGGCTGGTGATTTGATTTCTGAGATGATAATTTGGTGCTTGGGGCTATATTTTTGTCATTCCATATTTTCTTGAGCTTTATATAACTACATAATATACAAATTCTGACATTTCAGCATATGCCTTCATCAGTTGTTCTGTAGCGTGAGACCCCAAAACAAGCCATGTTATGATTAGCATTAGAAGAGCTCTTTTGAACAAAAATGACAAGACTAATAGGCTCTCTCACTAACTGCGATAAAAAGCAAAAAGCAACCACCTAAAGAATATTTTAATCTTAAGGTTCACTGTCATTTTATTCTAATTTTTTTTTCCCAGAGTTGACAAGCTCTTCAGTCAGATTGCAGGGCAGAAAAGAGCAGCTGGTGATGGAGATGATACATCAAAGAGAGCAAGAACAGAAGAGAAAATGTAATTGATCTAAATCTATTCCTAGTATTTTTTATTTCATTTATATGGATTGAATCTCAATGTCCTGTATGCATTCTCCATGTCGCATGAACCTAAAGGCAATGAGGCATGAGCATAGGTGCCCCACGGCAAATAATATTTCTTTAATTGATGTGACCTTGAAAGAAGTCTAAATATCTATACAAAACAATTTATAGGAAAGGAAAAACAAAAGAAGTAAGGGAAATAACGCACACCAAATATTTTCAAGGGATAGTTTATCAACAAAGGCTGGCTTACGAGTGACTGTGTCATGTAAAAACAGAGAAATGAGATAGAAAAAGATGTATGATTAAAGTTGACTCTTTTACTGCGACATTTTTTAAATGAAAAAACTTACATTTTTTTCAAAGAGCAAAAAAGAGAGAGATGTTGGATTTATTTAAAATATTGTTTGGTTTATAAGGCTAAATTTGGTATCAATTGAAAGATAATTGCATAGTAAGTTTGTAAACTTATTTCTTCAAAAAAAAAAAAAAAAAGAAAACTTAAAACTTGAAAACATGAAAATTATTTAAAATATTTTTTGGTTTTAAAGGCTAAATTTGGTATCAATTAAAAGAAAATTTCATAGTAAGTTTTTAAACTTATTTCTTAAAAAAAAAAAAAAAAAAGGAAACTTAGAACTTGAAAACATGAAATGAACCCCCCCCCCCCCAACCCTTTGATGCAGGCATACATCATCTTCACTGCTATTACTCAAATCATTTGACACTACCACTACGGAATCTTGTGATGGATCTAAATCTAATTCATCTTCAGTATCAATAGAAAAATAGAAATAGTATGAAACATTTTCTAAGTTTGTTGAGCTGTTAATTGTCTAGAAACATTACTCACCCCACTAAGGGCTGGGGTAGCCATAGCAACAGTATCGATCAACAAAAAAAAAAAAAAAAAAGAGAAGAGTATTAACAAAATCATACTTGAAATAACAACTACTAAACCTTGCTTTTACTCATAAACTATAAAGTACCACTCTTCTATGTAAAAGTCTAAATAAAAAAATAGCTCTTAAGAAATTTAACAGAGAAATAGCAATGAAACAACACACAGTGCTTGGTCTGTGCTTTTTGGCTCGACGGATGAACCTACTGTGTTTTGTGCAGCAGCGATGGAGTTAAAGCTTGAAAAAAATGTTAAACAGATTCATTGAACCTCTCCGATGTGTGATTGTGATAAAAAATAATTTGACATGTATAACTAAAAATTAAAACGAGAAATTTGCTAGTGGAAAATTCGAATGCAATTGCATTACAGGAAAAAGTATTATTTGAATCCTAACTTAGGAATTGTATACAGAAAAGTGTAAGTACCGTTTAAAAGTAGACTTTTCAGTACAATGGTGATGGTGAGTATGTTCATGTTTGTAAATAAATGTGACGGGGGGGGGGGGGCAGTTTTAATAAAAAACAACTAAAATATAGGTAATTAATAAGACCCAGAGCATAATTTTTGGATGAAAAACTAAACGGGTATTTGCATCTCTGCATTTGGAATTTATCAAAAATAATTCTGTGGAGGGGCTATATTTCTGGGAATGGCCATCATATTAAACAAAAGTTTTTTTAAAACAACAAAAGTTTTTTTTAAAACTTAAAGTACCAGCAATTGACATGCAGTGGAGTAGAAAGGGGGCGGTCTGTCCCTGGGCGCGGCAAGCCAATAAGATATTATATTTTTTTGAGGGTGCCCCATCAGAGCAATTGCCTAGGTGCCTCCTGGGGTCTTAATCCTGTACTGTACATTCCTTATACTCTTGTTAGTAATGTTGGTTGCACTAACAAATATTACGTAAGAAGTTTCAGAACATTATTTCAGACTGATTATTGGATTTAATTTTTTTTACCAGCCGTGTCAGTAATGGCAAATTTTATTTGACATTCAAGATATTGACAAATATGCATTTTAAAATTTCTTAAAATTTTAGTGTTGAAGTTATGCCACGTCTGCAGGTGCATACAGTTGAGACACTAGAAGCATGTGTTCATGAGGTGAGAATTATAAATAAATATACACATATTTTCCAGATATCTTAAACCTTTTTTTTTATTATATGAAAAGCAATTTATATGCAAAAAAATATCATGTATATTTTTTTAATGTTCTTTAAAGCTCTTTTCTTTCCACAGGTTGCTATCCCACCAGATGATGAGTATGTTCCGCTGAAACCCCCAACCACTGAGCCAGCCAAAGAATATCCTTTCACACTTGATCCCTTTCAAAAAGAGGCAATTCTTTGTCTGGAAAATAATCAGTCAGTTTTAGTGTCAGCTCACACCTCTGCTGGAAAAACTGTGGTGGCTGTGTAAGTATCTGGCCATGGTCTTTTGAATTATTGGTGACTTCCTTGCTTATTATGCTTTTTGTGTATGAAATATTTGACATGAACAACTTTAAACACTACTTACTTCTGTTATTCGGTGGATAAGTTAACAGTTCCAAACAACTAGTGCAATAAATATTCAAACACTGTCAAACTGATACATAAGCTGTATGTCACTTTCGATGCATTTCCAAAGATCATGCATCATTTATAATTTTCTGCTTTTTGAAAAATCCTTTCTCAGGGTGGTATCAATTGAAAATTATCCAACATTTACATAATCACAGTTTTTTAATTTAATTTATCCAATTTTGTTGCAGATATGCCATTGCACTGTCACTGCGCAGCAAACAGAGAGTGATCTATACAACACCCATCAAGGCTTTGAGTAACCAAAAATACAGAGAGTTGTATGAAGAATTTACAGATGTGGGTCTAATGACAGGAGATGTGACAATCAACCCTACAGCCAGCTGTCTTGTCATGACAACAGAGGTTTGGAAAACAGTTTTTGTGATCTTCTGTTTTTTATAGGAAATAGTAGAACAAGATAGGTGAAAGCTTGACACCGCAACACCGATATCACTATAATACAGTCACTGATATATATGTGGACCAGAGTGTCTAATCTAATTAGAAAAGTTTTTAGCAGTCCATAGAAATTATATATTTGACCATAACCAGATCTTATGAATAATGTTGGCATAGGTTTGCCTTTGTTAAAGTTAACACAGGCCATCTTTAATACTGGATTTGCTTACAATTTGTCTTCCATTTATTTGATTCCCTGCAGATTCTGAGGAGTATGTTGTATCGTGGATCTGAAGTGATGAGGGAAGTGGCTTGGGTCATCTTTGATGAAATTCATTACATGAGAGATAAAGGTGATGAAACAATTTCATTTTAGTACCAACATGATTTCTTACACTTGTCATTTCTTACACTGGACCGCTTTATTTGTTGATATTTTTCACAACATTCACCAATAGAATTTTGTATTGGTTTTATTTACAGAACGTGGTGTTGTCTGGGAGGAAACCATTATTTTATTGCCTGACAATGTGCACTACGTGTTCCTCTCTGCCACCATTCCTAATGCTAGGCAATTTGCTGAATGGATCTGTCACTTGCATCGGCAGGTAATGAGTTTTTCTTACAATTAGATTGATGAAATTAGATAAAGTGCCAGCAATGAAGAAGTTATAGAAAGCATTTTTGTCTAAATGCTTGGATTTAAATAAATTTGTTAAATTGAATTAGTTTTCCTGAAGACGGAATAGGAGACATCTAAAAAAAATTTATTTTATTGGGATTTCTGTGTAACTACTAACTTATTCTGTAATTCTTCAATTCATTGAATGCTTTTAAAACACTTTCAATTATCATTTTTTATTTTTTTTTCAATCCTATGGAAAAGTAAATGATTTTCATTTTAAGATAAGATTCTTTTATTGATCCAAGCAAATGGAAATGTTTTTTATTAAATTGTACATATAAAATTTCAACACATAAATAAATACATATTTTAATAACGTTGACACTTTCCAGCTAAAACAATGTAAACACAAGACTGCATTAAATTATTTCTTTAGTGTAAGAAACAGCCAATCAGTGAACTCCCTTAGTCATTATAGGGACTTAATTACTGATCATTTTTCAGCCATGCCATGTTGTCTACACTGATTACAGACCTATTCCTCTTCAACACTACATATTTCCTGCTGGTGGTGATGGACTGCACTTGGTGGTGGATGAAAATGTAAGTTGTTTCAACACTTCAAATTTAATTGAAAACCATTAGATCCCCCCCCCCCCCCTCTCTTCCCCCATTTTATAATTTGTTTAACCTCCAAAATGTTTATTTATAAACCTATATGGTGGATGAAAATTTAAGTTTTTTCAACACTTCAAATTTAATTGAAAACCATTAGATCCCCCCCCCCCCCCTCTCTTCCCCCATTTTATAATTTGTTTAACCTCCAAAATGTTTATTTATAAACCTATATATATATATATATATGTTCATATATTAGATTTAAGGAATTAAACCAAATTGTTGATCATATCCCCATGGACTAGTGTCATTTTTTTCTGTTTAGCAACAATTTTCACAGAAAGTTACGTTTTAGATTTATAATATAAAAGTGATAAGAATTGTTTTTAAATTAACAAGAAACTTACCAAAAAAAACATCACAAATTTGCTCATTGAGTATGTAGGTGAAAAGTGAATGGCTATCTTGATTCATATGGAACATCATTAGTACCCTTTAAGACTAATGATGTAAATTAAATGTATGCTTTTTTTATTAGTTCTTCTGATAGTTGTCAATTGCAAGCCCCAATACAGTGCCAGTTGAATATAAAAAAAATTAGAATAGTGGAACTACAAAATGTAGATGAAGACATTTTCATTGCAGATATAATAAAATTTAAGGAAACATTTTTTTAAAAAATAGTAGACATTGTTGAAAATGAAGTTGGTAACATGAGAGTCAAAATGTACATTGTATTGATATGTTTTGGCATTCATTTTACCCTTATTCGTTTTAATAATTTTTATATTTCATATAGATAAAGCTCTAAGGGGTGCCCTGCTATGTGGCAGCCTTACAGAGAGTTACGGGCAGTGCAGTTTTAACAACTTTAAATTTATTAAAAGTCCATCATGAAATAAAATGTTTGCTTTTTTGCTCACACTCCGTTTAGGGTGATTTTAGGGAAGAAAATTTCAATACAGCCATGTCAGTGCTACGAGATGCTGGCGATGCAGCCAAAGGAGATCAGAGAGGGAGACGAGGCGGGAGTAAAGGTGAATTTAATTTCAATTGTATTTTTGTATTTTTTTATGAATACAACATTTGAATAATTGGAATATTCAGAAAGGAGTCTTTTTAAAAAAATTTTTTTTGCAGAAAGTAAATATTAAACACGAAAATCGCTGTTTTCTTTATTTGCTTCGCTTGCATTTTTGCAGTTATGTTGTACCATATATCTTATCAAACATATGTTTTTGTTTTTCAGCAAATGAGTCAGATTGCTACAAAATAGTAAAGCTCATCATGGAAAGAAACTTTGCTCCGGTTATCGTCTTCAGTTTTAGCCGCAAAGACTGTGAAGGTTATGGAATGCAAATGTCCAAGTTGGATTTCAACACGGGTAATTTAAATATTTTATGAATATTCAGTTATAATAGATTGAATTCATTAACATTGTTATTTTCATGTATTGCTCTTGAATATTATAAAGTCTCTCCTATTTTTGTTGTTGATAGATGAAGAAAAAACTTTAGTTGAAGAGGTCTTTAACAATGCAGTTGATGCCCTGTCAGATGAAGACAAAAAGCTGCCTCAGGTACAATTTCTTTTTACTGATTATTTTTTTTATTGCATCTTGTATGCTCACAAGGTTATGATGGTCTTATAAAAAACCAAACTAACATATTGAAATAATTATTATGTTTATCTTTCCTTGTTTTAAATTATTGTAAATATCAAATCAATTTTCTTTTGTTTATCTTTGAAAAGGTTGAACATGTTCTCCCTCTTCTGAGGAAGGGTATTGGAATCCATCACTCTGGACTTTTGCCTCTTCTTAAGGAGACAATTGAGATACTTTTCTCAGAAGGTTTGATTAAGGTGATGAAATTGTTTTTGTCTTTTGTTTTCTATTTACATTTTTCGGACTGGAATTATTCATCTTCTTAATAAGTTTTATTTCAATTTAGCATGTGCCATTATAGAAGTGATAGTTTATTTTTTGGGCCTCTAATTATGTTTATCTCTTTGTAGGTTCATTGGGTATTGCCCATTTTTGTAGACACTTTTTATAATAATATCAATTACAATAAAAAAAAAAAAAGCTATTGTAAAATTTAAATATTTTATTTCAGGCACTATTTGCTACAGAGACTTTTGCCATGGGTCTGAATATGCCCGCCAGAACTGTCCTGTTTACTGGTTGTCGCAAATTTGATGGAAAAGATTTCAGAACTGTAAGAGAGCTCGTTATCAATCATTAATTTGTATTTTATTATTTGAAATGATCTGACATGTTCTAATGCGGATGTGGATTTTATATTTGTTCTGACCTTTTTTGCACACAGCTTTTCCATGGAAAAGAATAATGTCAGTTTTATAATTGACACAGTACGAAATCTTAGTTTTATTATTTAGTGAGTCAGGTAATTTGTTGTAAGCAATCCATTTTCACTATTACACTCTTAAGTAAAAAAATATTTAAGGCTTAAATATTGAATAATTTGTTTATTTTCATTGAACTTTCGAGTCTTTAATCCATCAACTTAATTATTCTTTAAAAAGCTTGTTCATTTTATTCTGTTACCTGTAGGTCACGTCAGGTGAATACATTCAAATGTCTGGTCGAGCCGGGCGTAGAGGTTTGGATGAAAGAGGTATTGTCATTATGATGGTAGATGAAAAAATCACCCCTGATGTCGGCAAAGCTATTTTGAAGGTATCAATTAAAAATATTGGCATTTTACAGTTTTTGTTGCAGTTGCCATTAAAAAAAATGATAAGTTCATTAAATCAGACCGGCAATAACAGATCTTTGCATTGTTGTTATAAGCGGACAATGAAACACTCTTTTCTGATATCAATTTTGTATCTGTTAACGAACATTTTAAAAACGGTCTAAATTAATTCTTAGAAGTCGATTTTTACCAGATTCACTGGGTCCATGAACAATGCATTTTTATGTAGTGTATAAAATAATCAAAACCTGTGTCTCTACTTTTTCTCTTATAAATATGCTTCCTGATAATACAGTTAATATAATAAATAAAATAAGGCCTGTCACACAGCTCCTTGTGTATAGCTCAAATAATCATGCTTGCTGTTACTCCAGGGTAAGAACTCTTTGTGTATAGCTCAAATAATCATGCTTGCTGTTGCCCCAGGGGGAGAACTCCTTGTGTATAGCTCAAATAATCATGCTTGCTGTTGCCCCAGGGGGAGAACTCCTTGTGTATAGCTCAAATAATCATGCTTGCTGTTGCCCCAGGGGGAGAACTCTTTGTGTATAGCTCAAATAATCATGCTTGCTGTTGCCCCAGGGGGAGAACTCCTTGTGTATAGCTCAAATAATCATGCTTGCTGTTGCTCCAGGGGGATCCTGACCCACTCAACTCTGCCTTCCACTTGACCTACAACATGGTCCTAAATTTGCTGAGGGTTGAAGAGATCAACCCTGAGTACATGCTAGAGAGATCATTCTTTCAATTCCAGAATTACGCTGCCATTCCTGATCTTTTAGAGAGTGAGTTCACCAATTCAAGAGTTGTCATTTTTATAAATATTTTCAGTATTTAAGATTAAATCATGGTTTGTATTTTCAGTTCATGTTGGCATTTTAAATTAAAACAACTGCTTCTGCACCTCAGTATCCTGTATAATTTGACAATTTCTTGAATTGTTACCTCTCTTTGACCAGGACTACAAGTTAAAGAACAAGCTTATAAAGCACTCGCTGTGGATGATGAGGATTCTGTATCAGCATACTACAGAATCCGCCAGCAGCTTGATACACTGGGTAGAGAACTGCGACATTTCATTCTTAAACCAACTTACTTGCTGCCATTCCTTCAGCCTGGGAGAGTGGTGAAGGTAAAGCCTTATCTTGTTGACTGTCATAGAGTTATTTTGCATACATATATATTTGATGGCAATGTTTTATAGCAAAATTTTCAGCTCCGTTTTTGGCTGTCTGGAGTGATAATTGATTTGACATAAAAACATCTGCAGTGACATTTTATTTAACAAAAACACGACCAGAGCGACAATTTGTCATTGGAGTGACCACATGTAATTTCTTTTTTTCCATTACAGGTGAAAAATGAAGACTTGGATTTTGGTTGGGGAATTGTGCTTAATTTTCACAAGAAAATGGACCAATCTGCTGTAAGTTTGTAAAAGTTAAAATCTATTATCTAAATATAGCTAGAGTGAGAATTTGAATTAAGCTAGCTTAACTACTTTAGGGACGAATGGCCAAAAGGACAAATGGCAGATCCATCAGCCCAATAATTCAAGTCTCGAAATAGGCAGGCTGGTCTTGGAACCAGCTAATTGGATTGCTTTTACATCCTGGCATTTTAATGACAGCTTCCATTTATTGTTTACTAGCTTTTGTTGTTGTGTTCAGCAATTTTTGTTGTCGTTGCAAGTAATTTTGTAAAATTCCAAAATGTATGACGTGACACTGATCAAACTATCCTTAGTGATTCTGACATTTCTCACTGCCTAGCAGTGGAACTGACACCGATGAAAACAACAAGGAAAGTAATGAAGACTATCAAACCGAGGATGTTAATAATGTTGTGAACCCTTGGTTAAGGATAAGGGGTCCCGAACTTGATAGAGATTAATTTTTAGAAAATATATGACATAAGCACACCTATTGAGTACTTCTTGCTACTTTTTACACTAAATATCATTCAAATGTTTGTGTGAGAGACCAATAGTTATGCTGACAACTTTCTCAGTAATACCCAGCTCAAGAGAAGGTCCCAAAGTCATAAATGGGTGCCTTTTACAGTGAGTGATATAAAAGCATTTACTTACCATGATTTTGAACATGGGCAATCTTATTGGCGTACATCAAGCTCACAGAAAACACCTTGGTTTCCCCAAGTCATGGGCAGAGATAGGTTTGAATTAATCTTGAAACTTTTTTCACGTGGTTGACAGCACAGGTTTGCCTAGTCCTGGATAAGATTGTTTTGGCCCATGAGCAGGATTTAATCCTTTAGTTTAACATTCAAATTATGTTTTTCAACAATATTATAAAGGGGTGGGGGTGGAGGGGTAGAACCATGTGTCTGAAAGTTTGATTCATAAAGATTGGATTAGTTCATTCAATTTTCTCCATGTAAAGGAAATAGTTTATTTTTTATAATTTTTTTGCAATGTGAGTGCTCAGCTTGTAAAAAGGGCTTTGTCTTCTTGGCAGAGACACTCCAAAAAGGCTCTGTTCTAAAAATAGTTATCTAGTAAGGAAGTTTCTCTGTATCGTCATTTATCCAACCCTGTATTAATATGTTTGTTTATATATTGCATTTAAATTTGTAAGGTTATCAATTTCATAAATGTTGATGATATTAATCCTTGAAGGCTACTGCAGAGACTGGTACACTGTATGTTGTTGAAATTTTGCTGAATCTCACAAAAGACAGCCTTAAGACTCGTTCATCTGCAGAGATCAGACCTTGTCCTAAAGGTGAAAAGGGAGAGATGCAGGTAACTGATTTGTTCAACAGCAGATCTTTTAAAACATTTTGTTTCACATAATCATTATTTTTATTTTTTAATATTTATGCACTATTTAAATAAATATAAAATTGTCGAAAATCGTGTTTTAAAGATTTAAATGATCAGCATTTCTCTTAGGTAATACTTTCAGATTGTCTCATTTCATGAAGACCACCAGAGGATGTGTCTTAATTGGATGAATTAAGTTCTGTTATAAATCACTTGTAACGAATGTGGCCGACCCAAAAAGGCCTTACTAGACACTTTAATAGCGAGTAAATGGTTTGCGGGCTCCATGTCATTACACCATATATTAACCTATAAAACAACAACCAATAAATGCAGCATAGAAATGCTTATCAATTCTTAATGTACGTAATGAGAATCTAAATAAAAAACAACAGAATTTAACTATACTAAAGCGATGCCATTTTACCTTTAATTTTAAAATAAAAATCGATTTCTGTGTCATTTGAATGAAAAACAAACAAGTTTATTGGTGATAAAACACATTCGCGGGCTGTAATATTTGACACAGGGCTGGAGGTTGGCCACCACTGTCATATAAAAAAAAACTTCATAGTAAGAGTAAGGCCTCCATTAAAAAACTTGAAAAGATACAAACTTTATGATATGATTTTATTTTGATTTTTTTAATATATTTTATAATTTCTACCTGATTAAGGGATTTTATCATGTCTTGATGTCAATGTTTTTTTTTTTCATATTTAGTTCCCAGAATTATGATTCATATATTATGTCTCAAATAAATGTTACCCTTCCTTTTCGTTGTTTTCAGCCATTTCATTCATTTACGCACTATTATATTGATAGGTTGTTCCAATACTGACTCGACTGATTGATTCTGTCAGTGCCATTAGGTTGTACATACCCAATGATCTGAGATCGACCGACAGCCGCTTCCTTGTTCTTAAATCATTACAGGTGATTGAAATAAACATGTTAAATCAATTCTTTTCATTAATGAAAAAAAATTAATATGTTCAACAAAAGTATGGACATATTTTGGAAGTATAACATTTAGAAATAAGCTTTGTAATTCAAATATTGTACTTGAAATATCATTTAAATGATTCAAAGTTTTGACGAAATGATTCTTAGATATTTCTTTTATATTCATTACTATTGATGGCTAATATAAATTTTTAGGAAGTGGAAAAAAGATTTCCTGATGGTTTACCCCTGCTGGATCCTATTGAGGATATGGGCATTAAAGAAAAGTCTTTGCTTGACACCATTAAGGTACTGCAGCAACTCATCTCTTGGCTTTCATTACTACATTAAATTCATCAACTCTTATAAAAATTAAATTTACTGGATAATTTTATTTTAAAAATACTAATTATTTAGCCTGTCTTAAAGCTTAACGGAAAATTCGCAATGATATGAGCTGTTCTATTATTAAATAAATATATAAACGTTTCCATTGAAAGTAAGTTTCATATAATTTAAATGGGTACATTTGTTTACTCTGAATGTTTCTTTCCTGCTACAGAAAATTGAAGCATTTGAACACCGCCTGTATTCTCATCCTCTACACAAAGACAGTCGACTGGCAGAGCTGTACGAACAGTTTGAGAAAAAGTCTAAAGTAAGTTTCACTTTTAGCTGGTCATGTTGTTGCCTAAGCGAAATGAGTTTGAAAACACTCTTTGGGAAAATTAATTATTTAATTTGTTTTTACTGATAAATTGTTTCTTCTCTTTTAAAGCTAGCTAATGACATCAAAGCTTTAAAGATGGAGCTTAAGAAAAAGAAGTCTTTGCTTCAAATGGATGAGCTCAAATGTCGTAAGCGGGTTCTTCGTAGAATGGGTTACTGCACTGCCTCTGATGTCATTGAGCTAAAGGGAAGAGTTGCATGTGAAATTAGCAGGTGAGTTGTGAGTTATGGTCGGCTGATGTTAAGTTTAAAAATAGATGAATATTTTATAAACCAACCTCTTCCCTTTGTTGCTATGATTAAGATAACTTAACCCTTTCACTGCCACAGGTACATTAATGTGGTTTGGACAACATAACCCTTTAACTGGCACATGTACATTAAAGTGGTTTTGACAAGTTAACCCTTTTACTGGCTCATGTTTTGTCCATTAAAGTGTTTTAGACACTCCTATGCAGGAGAGTATTTAAATTATTACTAGCATCATCTTTTTTATACAGTGGATTTCTTTTAGATTCTGCTCATATGCATAAAAGAAAGGAAGGAAATGCATAATCTGGTTTTCCGTAAAGCATGCTTGGCAGTGAGATTGACCAATTGTTATTAAGTTTTTTAATTTTAATTCCTCTGTTAAGTCAGGATAGCAAATTATATTCCTACCAGCTATTTTCATCAAAGTTAGAAATAAATCTTTGAAAAAATTGGCTCAGTTCTAACATAACACAGTAGGCCAAATTAGAAAAAGGACAGGATTGTAATTGTAATGGAATATATTTCAACTATTAAATAGTATTTTTGATTCACAACTTCATTTGGTCTCCACGAAATACAAGTATCTTTTGGTTATCATTGAAAATTTGTTGCATTTTTGTTACAATCTCATTTCTCATGGAAGCTCTGCACTTTGAAATGTTATGACTTACTACATGAAAGACATTCCATGTGTGTCAAACTTACAGTCATTGTTTTCATTATTGGTACTTTTGTCTTACTTCACTACATACACAGCCATGTTTGGTTCACACTTTAAAAGCAACAACCAACGTTCAATCAAAGTATAACAATTCTTCATTATCACAGAAACTGGCTGTTGACAAAAGATCTTTACAAAATCTTCACTAGACTGCTCTTATCCTCACACCACTCTAGCTTGTCCTTCCCACTACAATCATCTCTCAGCATACTGACACAACTCACCCTCACAAAAACCTCTCACCAACAAACTAACCTTGCATCGCCTGACCAATCACAACTCGCCCTCACAAAAACTGCTCACCAATGAACTAACCTTGTATTGCCTAACAAATTAGAACTCGCCCTCACAAAAACCTCTCAACTATTCATGATCCACAACTTTCATAAACAAACAATCACACTCCCAAATTAGTTCATACCAATTTCATTTAAATGATTTATTGTGAGCTGTATAATCCTTTGAAATGTGCTTCAGCGGTGATGAGCTTCTACTGACAGAACTGCTCTTTAATGGCGTGTTCAATGAGCTGACCCCCCAACAGGCTTGTGCTCTTATCAGCTGTTTTGTGTTCCAAGAAAAAGCTTCGGAGACCCCCAAACTGGGAGAGGAGCTTGCTGGTCCTCTGAGGATTATGCAGGTTAGTTCAGTCACTTTGGTTGTTCAAGTTCATCAAGCTCATTGATTTCTTGTGTATCAGCTTTCTATGAAAGGAATTTTAAATACTGCCAAAGACATGAATTGTGACATGACCATAAGGATGACCAACTTGAGCTACACAGGCTGATGGCAATTACTTTTTTGGTGTTCATTTCTGGTGATTCAAAAAGAAAAATGTTAAACTGTAAAGCCAAGCCAAAAATTTAAAGGGAAGTGGATTGGAACTTACATAAATATGTTTTCTTACTTCAGAGCAAAATAATTAATTATATACAATTTTTTATCAAATGCAAAGAAAGAAAACAAAAATTATATTAAAATCATATTAAAACCCTCTAGATTTACAGCTTGTAACCATTTTCTGTTGGCCTATCAGCCAATTAATTTGTCAAAAAAGCAGTTAAAAATCTTCAAATGAGCGCCTAGAACTATTACCTGTTTATCTGTATAGGAATCAGTACAATACAAGTTTCAGCTCCCGTTTGCTTTTCTTAGATGTCGTAACATTTATATTATGTAACTTTTAATGGATGGAGGCGTTTGTGGTTTAATAAAGTTACTCATAAACATTAGCTAATAATGTGCTGATTTCGTCAATGTAGGCCATGGTTTGCAGATACTATTATATTCAACTACACAATGACTGTCTCTCTCTCTCTGATAAGAAGCAACAATGTCCAATGTACACTACACAGTACTTTATTATAAATACTAAATAAATCACATGATTCCTTGACATCCGGATAATGTAACAATTATAGTCACAACGTAGAGAATGTATATACACACACGTTCATTACATTATCTAATATCAATTCAGTAAATCCATTTGAGAAATCCAATATGTCCTCTCTCGTTATCCCGTTCACTCCCGCTCTAGGTAAAACATGATTTCTGCAACAAAAACTAGTTCCTTCTTTCTTGTGCTATTCATTCTTCAAATGTCAAATCACCACATCATTGTGCTGTGAGAATAAATATTTGTGTCATGTGAAAAAATCATAGGTAACTTGGTCTGTTACAAATGTTATTAATTGTTTTCACAATGTCACAAGTAGTTGTCATACATAATAGACTGATGAAACTTAAAGCTGCACGCTAAATAATCATACCATAACACCGCCTTGTTTTGAAATTTATAATGTCCCTTTGAAATTACTCTAAATCTATTCCTTGTCACATTGTTACTTTAACAGTTAAACTTACTTCCAACAAGATACTGCTCATCCCATTGTTACTTTTCTGTTAAACTTACGTCTCGCTGGATACTGCTCATCCCATTGTTACTTTAACTGTTAAACTTAAGTCTCACTGGATACTGCTCATCCCATTGTTACTTTAACAGTTAAACTTACTTCCAACAGGATACTGCTCGTCGCATTGCTCGCATCAGTAAAGAAGCTAAACTAGAGTTGGATGAAGAGGTTTATGTGGATTCATTTCGACCACATCTCATGGATGTAGTGAATGCTTGGTGCAATGGATCAACTTTTGCAAACATTTGCAAGATGACTGATGTCTTTGAAGGTAGTTTTCTTTGTAGAATGACTGATGTCTTTGAATGTAATTTTTTTTGTAGAATGACTGATGTCTTTGAAGGTAATTTTTGTTAGAATGAGGATGTCTTTCAAGGTACATATTTTCTAGGCCCTTATTCCCCACTGAAAAATACTATTAAAACTACCTGTTACTTATAAAATTATGATCTTCATTTTCTGTTTTCCACCTGTGTTCAATATATATAATGCAAATAATAATACAAAGATTGATTTCTTTGAAATATGAATAATTTCTTTTTAACGATATGCCCACTGTGGTAAGGATTTATTTAGATATGTGTTGGAAATTGTTGAGATGTAGATCTCAATGTTGAATAGTCATCTAATCTTAATGTCAGGCGACTATTTGTTTTGGTATTGTCTCCCGCCGTATCACAAACAATTCACCACAAAACTGTATAGTCCAGTTCACGCTATAAGTTGTTTCACTTTATCACAACATGGAGTAGTCATGTACACTGTACATCCACTTGGGACACAAAAGCATTACTACTTAAAGTATGTCCAACAGAACTCAGCAACACACACGTGACAAGCTAGACTGTCAATATCATCCAACTCTTGTGCACTGCCATCCTTCCACACCATAACAATAAAAACTAACACATCATTTCCCCTTACCCAAATATGTCACAACAATCTCAACTTAAGAGATACAGCTACACAGATACTCTCTACGCTAAACATCTTTTCCATACCAAACATAACAACAGTGATTCTCACACCCTTGACAGAAATGAATAGCATTTTTTTTGATATTATGAAGCAGAATTTCACCTAAAAAGTATGGAGAGATGAATGATCCAATCGGCTACATAAAACCTAATTTTAAAAAAAAATTCACTTCCCTTGGGTGATTTATATTCTAAGCACCCGGATAAGTTATTATTATGTTAGATGTTTGTAAAAATATTTTGATTTTCATGTTTGATATTTCAGGCAGCATCATTCGTGCTATGAGGCGACTGGAAGAGACCCTACGCCAAATGGTACAGGCAGCAAAAGCTATCGGTAACACTGAATTGGAAAACAAATTTTCAGAAGGTTAGTCACATTTGGAAGATTTTCTTGCATTCTGAGACCTTCTTGTTGAATTTTTACCCGCTGCATTGCGCCACATATATACACCATACATATACACCACACGACCAAATGGTTTGTCTTAAAGGTCTACAAAGGTATACGTTAAGCTTTGGGTGAAAAGCCGGTATTTGATTTCTACTCAAAGCGCTTCAGGCTAGTCTAGTCTATAGGATTGACTTTCACAAAGAACAAAAATAGCAATGCAATGAGTCTAAGTAGATTGGTGGATGCCTGTTTTCTACAACTCTGTTTAAAGCATCATTTGATCATGACATTATCCATGCTTTATATCAAGCCTTTGGCTCGTTGAAAATATCTCTTTGATATTGGTCGTCATTGATCTGTTTCATCTTTACCATTTGACAACATGGCCTCAAGCCTCTTATACATTTTCAAACTATTTGCAATTTTCCATGATGTTATGCCACTGTACTTGAAAATGTATTTCTAAATATACAAAGGAAATAAAAGTAGAAAAAAAACAACAAAGAACAGCCAACTATTAAATGACATTAGTATGGTCTCTTTTAGCCACATGGACATTTGTATGGTCTCTTTTAGCCACATGAGCATTTGTATGGTCTCTTTTAGCCACATGGGCATTTGTATGGTCTCTTTTAGCCACATGGACATTAGTATGGTCTCTTTTAGCCACATGGACATTTGTATGGTCTCTTTTAGCCATACGGACATTTGTATGGTCTCTTTTAGCCATATGGACATTTGTATGGTCTCTTTTAGCCACATGGACATTTGTATGGTCTCTTTTAGCCATATGGACATTTGTATGGTCTCTTTTAGCCATATGGGCATTTGTATGATCTCTTAGCCACATGGACATTTGTATGGTCTCTTTTAGCCACATGGGCATTTGTATGGTCTCTTTTAGCCACATGGGCATTTGTATGGTCTCTTTTTGCCACATAGGCATTTGTATGGTCTCTTTTAGCCACATGGATATTTGTATGGTCTCTTTTAGCCACATGGACATTTGTATGGTCTCTTTTAGCCACATGGACATCACTATCTCTTTTAGCCAAATGGACATTTGTATGGTATCTTTTAGCCACATGGACATTACTATCTGTTAGCCACATTGATATAACTATCTCTTTTAGCCACATTGATATAACTATCTCTTTTAGCCACATTGACATTACTATCTCTTTTAGCCACATTGATATAAATATCTCTTTTAGCCACATTGACATTACTATCTCTTTTAGCCAAATTGATATAACTAACTCTTTTTGTCACATTGACATTACTATCTCTTTTAGCTACATGGACATTTGTATGGTCTCTTTTAGCCACACACATTTGTATGGTCTCTTTTAGCCACATTGACAGTAATATCTCTTTTAGGCTCACGGACTTTTGTGTGGTCTCTTTAAGCCACATGGGCATTTGTGTGGTCTCTTTTAGACCACAGATCACAGATAATACAGTTGATTAGTCAAATAACTTGGTTGCAAAATATCTAAGACATGGTTAAGTAAGGCTATACTTGAGCTTGTTCATTTGATATCTTTGCACTGATTATGAACTGCTTTTCTAATTTAATAACAATCGAAAAGTGTAAGTGTGGGGACTGGACATATTGGTGTCTCTGGTATTGGCACACATTTTTCCAACCTTTGCATTGGCAGGATGTTTGTTTATCAGACCGGTGTTGGCCGTAGTTAGTAGGACATCTGTTATCAGGCTGGTGTTGGCCATAGTTAGTGGGGACATTTGATATCAGGCTGGCGTTGGTCGTAGTTAGTAGGACATCTGTTATCAGACCGGTGTTGGCTGTAGTTAGTAGGACATCTTTTATCAGGCTCTTGTTGGCTGTAGTTAGTAGGACATCTGTTATCAGGCTGGTGTTGGCCGTAGTTAGTGGGGACATTTGATATCAGGCTGGCGTTGGTCGTAGTTAGTAGGACATCTGTTATCAGGCCAGTGTTGGCTGTACCTAGTAGGACATCTGTTATCAGGCTGGTGTTGGCTGTAGTTAGTAGGACATCTGTTATCAGGTTGGTGTTGGCTGTAGTTAGTGGGACATTGGATATGAGACATTCTATGTCAGTTATTGATCAGTTATGAGAAAAGATGGAAAAAACCTCAGCATAACATCTCAAATTATTTAGTTTAATTTATTAGAATATTTTGTTCTCACAGGATATGTCCAGTGGGCTGAGTTTAGCTCATGATAATTGTAGGGTGGGTCATCTGGTCAATTATCTGAGTTATCTCCATGCCAGTTGCAGGATGTTACACAATGTTCTTATAATTTATTGTAAACTGACACCCTGTATGTTTGATTTTTACCAGGTATTCGACAGATCAAGAGAGACATTGTGTTTGCAGCAAGTTTATATTTGTAGTTTCATTTCATTCATTTCATCAGTCTTTTTGATTTTTTTAAAACCAAGAACATTCAAATCTTTTAAATTAACTGACTTCAAGAATACTTATACAGACATGTTCCGACTCAATTATTGTACATTTTACAGTTGAATTTGTAGGAAATTGGTGAAAGTATGAGAAAGCCTAAAAAATGATGCAACAAAACAAAGAACGTGTCGGCAAGAAGCCTAACCTTCTTCCACCTAACCTTAGTGCAATCTCTCCCCATCATTACCATAACCAAATTTGTTTTGGTACATTTTTGCCATCGAGTTCCAAAAACAAATTATCAGAAAGCTGAGAGTAAATTACCTGGATAGAATTTCTATCATAATCTATTGTTCTCACCAAGTCTTGAATTTTGCAGGTTGACAACATGGGAAGAAAATTGGATTAAAACTTTTAGCATGGATTTTTGTGGGTTGTTTTTGGAGATAAATTATTTGAGAAGCAGTTAACAAAAATGTTTGATGGCTATCTAAGCCATTTTCAGACTTGGCTACCGGTAGCATCTTTGCTGGGCGGTGGCTGTGTACCTTGTGTTACAACACTCAGTCATTATAAACTAAACTTCAATTTTACAGGTTTATCATCAAGTCAAGTTCATAAAATAATGTATGGAAAAATTCTTAATAAAGATGTAAAGTGCTATATTTTATTGTGAATGGGGGCTTTGTGAGACTGACAGAAGCTTGAAATGGAATTGTCAAATCTTAAGTGCACCATCACTTGTCTGTTAGTTGTCCTGCACTTGTCGAGATGGACAAGTTGCTTTAAGTGACATTTTGTTCATAATCTTGTCCAATATATTTAGTGACAATAGGAATATCTCTGTTATCTATTTACTATTAGTAATGTAATCTTAAGGTAATTTGACTAATTAAATGATGTGACAATAAAGTGTTCCACTACCATTTTCTTTTATCTTCTGCTGGTGTGTAAATGACTGAATTGTTGGTATTAGTACATTGGAACCCCGCTATAACGCGCCCCGCCATAACGCGAATTCGGATATAACGCTGTCGTAGCATGGCTCCCGAAATTTGAAATTCATTTACTCCATCAGGCCTAAGTTCTTTGAAAATTTTATCCATTGCTTGGGGAGCCATTTTTTAAAGCGAAAAAAATCACAACTTTTCAAAATATCGTAGAAAATGAGCCCCTAAAAGCACCACGTTGAAACTAGTATCAAAATTAATGCCGAAAACGAGGGTTTCTTCCGGTAGAACTATAAATAGTCATACGTTAGGGATTTTCGCTGTGCTAAGAGCAAAAGTTAACAACAAGTAAAAGAGACCCCGCTTTTAACGCAATCCGATTTTATGGACCTCGATCATCGCATTATAGCGGGGTTCCACTATATAAGTTTAAAGGTTAGCTCAGAGACCAGTGTCGCTGGGGGTTGGATGCATTGACAACGGAATTTAGTCAAAATGGAACCGGAAACCCATCGCCGCTATTCGGACCCGGGTCCCATTAGACTCAAGCTATTCGGATGTCATTTGTGGTAGTTTATTTTAGTTAAACTGAAGAAATAAGTTTACAAACATATAGTCCATTCAATTGTCCTTCATTTGATACCAAATTTAATCTTACAACCTAACAATAATATTTTATGTTAAATTTTAATCCCAACCTCTCATTTCGCGGACCCGGGTCCGAATAGCCACTTCAAAAAAAAAAGTATAATTATTAATAAATGAGCAGCAACCATTAGTCTGGCCCTGATGATGTGACCCTCCAATTAGTTAATTAGGGCAAAAAACATCGTTTTGACCATGATTCAACGCCGATTGAAGTGGTCGGTAACTTTCGTAAGTGACAGGAAACTATATACGGTATGAGAAATAAAGGTTTCCATTTATCCCAAATACGAAATGGTCGGGCCGTTCTAAGTACCGGTACATAAAAACACATTTTTATACTGTGGCCTTATTTTAACAAGAAAGAAACCGTCGGGGGGGGGGGGGAAGAGTGTGACCCCATGATTTAACCACCGTATCCGGAAGTTTGTTTGAAAGAAATTTCGTCGACCGGAAGTTTGGTAGAAATTTTTTATTGGTTTACAGCTCAAATTTTGCGTCAAATTTCTTTTTGAACGCATTATTTTGTTTTATTATATAAATACTAGATAGAGCCCATGCCAAACATTGGCGGCGTGAACTTCCCATCTAGGCAAGTTACTTGACAAAACGTGAACTCAAGTAACGCTCATTAAAAAAAAATCCCAATATTTGCTAAACCCCTTCCCCCATGATACGTCACTGCACAATTTTTATTTCACGCCCATGAACTAAATTAATATTCTCATGTTCAAACCACTTTTAAACCGAATATATTTTTTACACAATACTTAAATTGAAACGATTTCATTTCCGAAAAGAAAATATTACGCACCAAACGCAATTGCGTTATTAAAAAAAAAATATACATCATTTAGCGTAGTTATCCGGGAATTATATTTTGCGCGCTAGTGAACACATTATTTAACCACACTCTGGCGTATCTATATATAGCCTGCGTGGTGTTTGACCTTTTCCGGCCAATTATATATATAGATAGTGCATTCAAAAAGAAATTTGACGAACATTTGAGCGTGTGAACTTAAAACAAAAAAAAATTCGATCAAATTTCCGTTCGACCAAACTTACGACATCAACCCTAACTACACCGCAGAATTTTTTTTCCATGGAAGGTGGGTGCAAAATATCAACCTGCCATGGGTAGCACTAACCCTAGCTACATCATTATTATAATAACGTGGTATTCGAGGTTAGGGTTGCATTTAATAATTTATTCGTCATTTGTGGACAACTGGATACCTCTTGTTGCTGGACTACTGGATGCTGGACAACATAATGCTGGACTGCAGTATGCTGGACTACTGGATGTCTGGTTAAGCGGGGCTAATGGGTGCTGGATAACAGGATGCTGGGCCTCTGGATGTCAGGGCTGCCACTCATTTTTTTAATTCCCAAGATTTGTCCAAAACATTTCCCAAGGTTTCCCAAGATCATGAAAATATTTGGAGTTTTTAAAAAAAAACTTCGTAATTTAAAAAAAAAAAAAAAAA